CAGCATAGGTTCTAGGAAGCCAAGCGGTTGACGCTGCCAAAGATCGCGACAGCTTAGATATTACAAATTCGAAAGGGAGCACAGGTTCAGTGCACCAAATTAGAGATAACTAATTTTTGATATTTTTTATATAGCCAAAGTTTAGATTTAGTGCAGATTGCCCAGGAGCTCTGCTCGTAGTTGTCCCATTAACTAATCAGATAAACATAGCGGCGTTTTAGAAATCAAAACAAAAACAAGAACGTAAGAATCCGTAGTTCAAGAGGTAAAATGATATCGGTCTTAGGTCCCGTGGTGACTCTACGACCGATCATTAATGCCATATACGATTTTCAAATGATTGTGCCTTGGTTCCTTCGGCGTTTTTAGATTTAGCCCTAGATGTAAAGTTGATTTAATTTGTAAACAGGGGAAGTTACAGAAGGGAAAGTGGAGAAATGTTAGTTTTTTAACAGATATTTCAAAAATATTTTATATGCTATTTTTAAGAGCCTCGCGCTAAAAAATGCGTTAAAATTTTACCAATAATTTTAACTACAATTTTTGCAACACAGAACTGAATGATTACTTGAGATATTTAGAGTTGGCGATGACATTGAAGCTTTCTTTCGTTAACTAGAACTATTGATGTTATTGCAAAATAATAGAAGATACGTGCAGAAATAACGAGAGATAAAGATTCGGGTGTAGCGAAAACAAAAAGCGAATTTAAAATCTAGTGTGTAGAAAATTTAAAGTTAGAAAATGTAATAAAGCATGAGAGTGCAAACATTTTTAAAGATCAATAAACACCAAGCATAAATACAATCATTAAGTATCAAATCTTTTTTAATCTTCGGGTTCTATATATATATATATATACATGTATATATATATATATCGTAGACGACGAAAAAATCACTCAGTTCTGTTTCTTTAACTTGTAGGTGGGCATAAATGGGACATAGTAGGTCCATTTCCAGCTGCGTATGGCATCCATGCCATACGGAAAATCATAATCGGTGGCGCTGCCATCGTTGATGTTGTCGTCGCCTAGCGGCATCTCATTGGCCCACTCGATCAGACCTCGTTCAGCGGGTGTGCCTGGGAGAAATTAATTTAGTAATCTCCCAGTTCAGATGTCAATTGACCACAACTTACCGGGAATAATGTTATCCAGCAGGCAGCCAAGTAAACCACCCACCAAAATAGTCGTGCCCAACAGCACAGATAATGTGGAGTCGACGGTTTCATTACCCGTATTAATGGCGCCTGGATGCTGTTGCATCCAGGGGCACAACACCATGGGGAAAAATATCGATAGACCAAGAATATATAAATTTCTTGCAGAACGCAAGTCCACATACTGCAGTGTAGAGAGGCCAAACGCTATGATCATGCCAAACATGACGCAAAAGATTCCTCCTACCACCGAGTCAGGGATTAGAATGAATATGGCGCCAAACTTTCCAATAACGCCCTGTAGTACCATTATAAAAGCGGCCCATTGAATAACACGTCGGGAACCTATCTGGAAAAATTGGAAAAGATTAGTCAGTACGCTCACGTCACAAGCTCTGCTGCTCACCTTTGTCACACCTATAGCACCCACATTCTCGCCGAAAGTATTTGTGCCATTGCCAGCGCCCCAGAGGCCAGCTAGAACCGTACCCAGGCCTTCGGTACCGATGCCGCGATTAATGGCATGTAAGGGGGGCGCCTGGGCGCCTGACATTTGGGAAACTGTGGGATAATAGCTCAAAGATTCCACTGTGCAGGCCAGCACGCCTGCGAGCATACCCAGCACTCCAGACAATGTCACTGACGGCCATCCGAACTGGCCCGGATACGGCACATAGAACCACTTGGCACTGGTTAACACGTTAATTCGCACATCTGTTCGTGATGGATGCGAAGGCGGAAACACATCTGTGGCTGTTAGAATGCCGCAAAGGCCCCACATAATAATGATGGTCAACAGCACGGGAAACAAACGGAAGAGCTGGAACTGACGCACCTCCAAGCCGTGGCCCTTTCTATAGGCAAGCACTGGAATCGAAACGTCGCACATGATTTGCGAGAAAAGTGTCAGCATTCCCGTAGTCCTGTAAAAGCATTTACAATAAGAAATGGAACCTTTTCGTTTAACTGCTGACACTCACCCCACCGCAATGCCCCAGTGTTTCGAGGCCGTTTCCGCAGCGTGTTCGAAAAGTGTCAGACCGACCAAGGAAACTGTTGGAACAATGGTAAGCGGCGTCACATACTTTAAAATCTTGCCAACAAGTCCCGTGTAACCCAATATGACCTGCACCATGGCCGAAACTGCGATCGCCCCAGACAGCTCGCGCATCCGTATCTGCCACAACTCTTCGCGTTCCACCTCATTCATGGCATCAAGCTCGGCTTGGGGTGGGCATTTCCATTGAGGCAACGCAAGTATGGCCAGAGTGGGCACTAGAAAAGATATAGTTCCACCCTGAACTATGGGCAAACGCACGCCCCATGTCGCTTGGAAGTAGGTAACTATACCGGTAACAAATATCATTGTAGATATAATAATGCCACGATTGGGATCCTCATCGGACATGCACAGTGCCGGTGTTAGTATAAATGGTATTGACACAATCGCTCCAATCATAGTAAGATAATGTTGAAAGGCTAGAAATATGCTCAGATACCACTCTGAAACAGATCGATTAGAAATTATAAAACTGTTCATAAAGCTTAATAATAAATCTATGTAAATGTTAGTCGCCAATTTGCTTGAAAATGTGCCAGAATTTACCAGGATTCTCATTAATAGCATAAAGCAGTTTGGGCTTGGATCTCTCAGCGTGTGGCGCTGGAGGGTTGGGTGTGGGTGTTGGCCCCTTGTTGGCATCATTTAGCTTGGCTGCATCGGCCTAAAACAAACAAAACTTATTAAGTTATAACAGCTAATTTATGCAACTATGAAATTGAACTTATAATTATAGCATATTAAATTAAATTTTCTATTGACTTATGCTAATTTCAGATTGTTGAAAGGTAAATCAGGGAGTATCATGAAGAGGAAGTGCATTTTTGTTTTATTTATAAAACTTACATAAACTACAGTGGTTGAATAAATTAGCATTATTTTATGGCAATATGATTAGCTAGATCGTGGGTTTTTATGGGTAACTCCCAATCCCCACTCCCGCCAGTCATTCCGTCTCAGACGCAGATAGATTGTTAGCACTCGTGTTGGAATTCTGATTAATTGAGCGTGAGTTTCAGACTAGTAACTATTGAATAAATGGACGGCTCTCAGCTTGTTAGTTTGTATTATATATTAATAAACCAATAAATTACAGGCCAAAATACTGGACTCAGCTGAGTTAATAAATCACTAGAATAAATTGCTTGCTGAAAATGTGACAAATTGCAATTAGTTGACGATGAGACAGTAAATCGCCCCTCAGGTAATCATATGACAACAGATAATCCACTGAGTTTCTCTATTTTCTGCTAAAAAATTGTACTATAGATCTCTTATATTAGTGGCTACACAATAAATGAGACGATACGATACATAAAAAAATAAAACATAACCCTGATAAGAATCACAACAAAAAATGTCAATTAAGGGCAATTGGCATGCGAATCCCCTTAAAAAATGCACCACTTATGTAAACTTCTGTAAGTTTAAGATTGCATATATTAATTCACCTATTGATGTATGTATGTGGGAAAAGGAAACTCCGGAACAAAATCGTTACTCAATCACTTACTGGCAACCCATCCCCAATCGCAACACTATTTAGTTCCATGATTAGGCGGTATATAGCCTTTTGCCTGGCATCGGTAGATCAATTTATACTAAACACAATATTATCCTCACTGCTGCAATCTTAGTGAACTGATGCAGTCGACTGCTTGGAAGAGACTGAAGAAAGAGCCAAGAAACCAGCTACAGCAAATATCGACGCCAGTGCTGGGAAAGATCTTACTTTAAGGCTGTCGAAAATTGCTCAATTGATTGTAAAATCTAACTGTACAGTTAGAGTGAGAGCGTACATTGTAAGGCATTTGAGCAAAAGTAATGGCAATAGAAGAGAAGGTGATCAGTATAGGTAGCTCTCGTTTGATCGATTCAATTGATGAATTTTACTTTTTTGTATCGAGAGTGAAGAATTTGTTGTATTAATTTATATACTCTGCTTATTTTACTCTCATCCAAGTTATTTATAATTATAGTTGGTAAAAGATAAAAACGTTTCAAGGCAGTCAGCTGCTACCCTGTAAAAATGTCGAAAAGATCGTCATATAGATACCGCTTAATAAGCTTGATAAAGCATATTATATCTTTCGTTTTATTGGTAACGCTTTTGAGAAAAATAAACAATCATAATTTCGAACATAATATCATACTCATGGACATTCCAATTCAAAAAATAGAAAATCTTTTTTATCATGTTAATAATTAAAATTATACGTAGGTATGTTTATTCCGTAATTACTTTATACCTTTTGTACCCACGTTCTTCAGATCAAGAGGAAGCCCAAAAATAATATAGGTATAAATTGGGGTAGTAACTCATATCTTAGCACTAAGAAAATTTGGTCGTCGGTGGGGAAAGTTTGTATGAAACACAGAAAAAACAATGCAGCCAAATAAGTGTACTTTGCAAACTTGCCTATGTTAAAAGTGCCAGCAAATGAGAAAGTTCACTTGAAACTGAGCACCTCAACCTAAGAGAATATGTTGTATACATTGTATTTGTCTTAACTATCTAGCTTTCTAGGGTATATTCTTAAAAATCCATTTGTATTTGTTTTTTAGTAACAGAGAAGTGTATGTAGTTTCTGAAATTACATAAAAAACATATTGACGTGGCTATGGTGTCGGAGAACCTATGTTTATACATATCTATAGCTGTGATTGACTTGAATTTTAACGCTGCGTCAGAGCGTATGATTTTGTTAATATATCTTACCGACATTTAAGTAACATAAGTTCAACCGTCATGCGTAGAGTAAAAAAAAACAATTGAGCATTTGGAGAAACAAAATTTAATATGCATAGCATTTTTATTGTAAAAGTAACTCTGCACATTTTGTTTGTAAATATTTAACTAAATCACTACATACATAGTTTAATATACATTAATTTAGTTTTGGTGGTGTTGTTAAAGTTGTGATATTTTATGCTATACACACATGGTTACTTTCAATATACCGATAGATCCATTTAATGAAGCATTTATAAAAGTCGCGATAGAAGAGTAGTTTTTAGTCGGTGTTAGGGTATGTTTTAGTGAAGTTTTTTTTTCAATACACATTTGTGAGGGTGATTTTTGTTTGGTAGTTTGATAAATATGTATAATATATTTTTTAACTAATTTTTCAAAGGGATCTTCATCGATAACATTAATTAATATGTTTTTCTTTATGTAAAGCACACCAAGTTCTGTTGCAGTTGCAGTCTCTCTTACAAAATTAAACAAAACAAAAGAGCATTAAACAAAACTTATAACGATAAATAAAACTGTCTAGTGCACGAAAGCGGCATTAAGGAGCAATTTATGGTGTGTCCTCTTCTTTATCCTGCCACACGCTGCTCTCATTCTCCGTATCACTTAGAATTTCGACCACCTCCTCTTCGCCCGTCAGCAACCCTTCATCCTTCATATCTTTGAAGAAATCAGCTGGCATAGACATATCGCTATCACCGTTGTCAACCATTAGATTCAACTCCGGCACAAGTGAGTCATCGGTGCCCACCTGCGCATTTATTGTTGTAGTGGCTGACGTTGTAGAAGACACATCCATAGGCGGGAGCGTAGCCACCGGGTTAAAAGGCGCATCTAAATCTTCCAGGCCACGCGGTGGCTTTAGCTTTGCCAGCTCTTCCCGTAGATGCCGATAATGTCGACGCAACACCATTGAGTTAAAGGATATAGTGCGACTAGCGCGTTCGGTATATTGTGGCTTACTTAGCTCCTCAATCCAACCCTCGATTTGTGTGCAAATCTCCTCGCGCTTTAGCCAAAAGTGTTTGTGAATTACCTGAAAATGTACATGGTTTAGGGGCCTTTAGTCATTTTTAAACTGAAACTTACATCTGTGAAGCAGGGACTTGGGTTTCGTATTTGCTCTAACATTGCCCAACGCACGCACGCCTGATAAATGTTGCTGTTATATTCGCGCGACGAGTTGGTGCCGCTGGGTGTTCCACGACTGCGCTCAAAACCGGGTTCATTAAAGTACGGCTCAGGCACCAATATCAGGGACTGTATGGAGACGAGAACCTGCAGAAAACTGGAGGTTTGTGCATTCCATTTCTCCTCGGGTCGACCGTGCCAGGTGTTAAGCACTGACAGACAAACTTTGCCATCATTGTATAGATTGGGATTAAAGCGTACCGAATGACGACCTGTGGTCTCTAAATTGATGAGCATGGGCAAGTTTGGATAGTCTGGTGGAAAGAATACATCAAACTCGAAGCAGCCGTTGGCATAAGGCGTGTCCGCCGGCCCAGTTATTAGCACCTAATAAATACAAAAAAATGATTTAGTGTGAATATATAAATAGTAAAATAAATCACGCAAGACCATCAATATTATGGGATGTTATACTACCTTCATTATGTCCAATCTATCCGTATCACAGCGCACAAAGACAGAACTACTAAAACTTAGCGGCAGGCTGGTAGACAGCGTGACTGCTTCCTGCGCCAGCCGCTTGACACGTGAGGGATGATATCGATCGCCGGCTAAACGCACCATTTTCTCAAAATGATGTGAGACAACAAATCGAAAGCTGTTGTTGTCCGATTCCACAATCATATCGTATGTATCGAACTGGCGTTTTTTCATCAACTCCAGATAGCGCTGCTCAACTGATTTGCTGAGCGGCCGCTCGAATGAACCCATGCCATCCTCATGCGTATGCAACATATTAATGAGAGCATCTGCATCGGTCGTCTTCTGGACAAGCACGCACGTCTCGTGTATATCCGGTATGAGCAGCGCAAGCCCCTCGTCATCGCCATCATCAATGTTGAAAGTCAGCTGATGAGTTTGGCCTTTAATGTTGGACTTTTTATTGACCCTGTTGACAGAAAAATAAATGCTTAGTACTTTTAATTGTTATAGACCCATGACTGACTCACTTAAGCCGCTTGGCATATGTATCAACGCAGGTCTTCATGTTTTTTAAAAGCTCCGCTATGGGTGGGGTACATTCTCCGCTAACATTCGGCTGTAGCAACGAAACCAAATTCTTAGATAGGGAAAGCGCACGCAGCAGCTTTAAAATGGCACGATAGAGAGGAATGTGTCGTGTTATGTCTAAAACTGAATCGTTGCGCAGGTAAGAGCTAAGCGCTGGTATGAGACACGACTGCTGCAGCAAAGTCTGGAAAATTGGCGGTAGGTCGCCAGTCACATCGCGCACATCGTGGTATGCGAGTATATCTTCTCCGCGCATATCGCTGGGTATGCAATCCCCGGGGTTGATATAACTTGATAATACCAACAACAGTACCGTCACATGCTCTTCCTCACTCTTCTGGCGCAAAAGCGCCTGCTCTACGTTCCACGACTGCGTCGTAGAGCCGGTACCAAAGCCAGTGCCCTTTGCCCAGTATATATGGCTTTTATCATCCGATGTCGCCGTACTTGGCATGGCTTCTTCTGCTGTGCTACTTTTAACGGCTGTGCCGTTTCCGTTGTCATTGCTGTTGCCACTAGGTGGTGGCTCGCTTATCAATGCACCAATCTTGTTGTTATGGGACTGATGCGAAAAGATGCCTAGACAGTTGAGCACAAGATGCATGGCGCCTACTTCAATGACAACACGGCGCAATAGCACGCCGTCATCCGTGGAAAGCGACACACTATCCAGCAGCTGGCGGAAAACCTCAAACGGCAGTGTTGGTAACGATGGTGCCAACGAAAGGCTATAGATGTCATCTGTTAAGCAAGCAGAATAGCTTAGCAAATAAAAATTTATATGTAAAGAATCTGGTGCACTTACTGCCATCGCCATCACCGGTGACGCCTAGCACGAGTCGCAGGAGGCACTGGGCACGCTGTTTGTCCCTAAGCAGAACATCGGAATAGGCAGGCAGCCGCAGGAAAAGACCAAACGCGGCCAATGAATGTTGCGGTACGGAACTAACAGTAATTTGTTTAGCTGCCGGCTCACATATGGTATCCTCCAGATCTTCGTAAATCTCATCATTCGGCTCTAGCTTAACCCAATCGGACAGTGGTAGGCTCTTCTCCTTCTCAGCCGCTACCGAAGTGGCCTTTCGGCCCATGTGCTCAGGATACACAGTAGGCAAATAGTGTGCTAGCAGCGATAGACCGCCACTGCTGGAAAATCTTTGTAAAGGAGACGGCAGTGGCTCAGTGCAAACAGCCTTGATTTTCTTCGATTCGGTAGCTACATCTCCCAACAAACTCTGCTGTACCAAATCCAATGAAAGGCAGGGTTCGGATAACGAGTGACCAGCATCCTGCAGTGTAGCTAACACCTGTGAGATGGTGGCGTCACCAGACAACAGTATATCCGGATACTCTGCTACAACTAACTGGCTACCAATACCAACATGTGCCGCTTGCAGTAGAAACTCCTCAATATTAAAGGTATCTATAAAAATTATATTTTAATATTTGACCGCGATTTATGTGCGTTTATTTATTTCACTCACTGATGGGTAGCAGTTGCATGGCTGACGTTTGGGTCTCTTTGTCTTTATTAACTGCTGCCTGGTTTTTGGCATCCTTGATGCGCTTGTCCTTAGCCGCCACCGCAGCTCCAACAGTTAGAAACTCCATGCTGCCTGCGTCCATATTGTTAAAGTTAATGAAGCACGATTTATCGAGCTTGGTGTCGTTTGACTTGGTAGCAGCTGGCATACTAGCTGAGCCATCACCACTAGTGCGCTGATCTGTTGGTTGTTGATACACTAAGTTACTATAAACTACGGTATCAAAAATGAAATTAAGAAATAAAAAGTGAAAATTAATTTAAAAAAAAAACAATAACAAATAGTCATAGCTAGAATCAAACTTTATACAAATGTGTTTCATATTCTGCAATTTAGAATAGTCCGAAATTAATGACAATTATATAATAAGTGTATTCAATAGGTTTTCATTCTTTAACCCTAAGTTGTACCAGTTAAAGAAATTTTTAAAGTATGTTATTAGAATAAATGATCAAGTACAGAAAAGAAATAATTGAGATTTTTAAAGCCACAAGCATAATTCTTAATAGCTCTGGTACGCATTGAATTAAAGTTGTATGCGATGCAAAGTAATAGGTTATGGCTGTCAATCGGGCATGAGTAATTAAAAACAATAACCCTACCCATAATTTAAAGGTTTCAATTAGAATAACTTACCGCTAACACAGTTCTGCATGATCTCCTGACAGGTGGTGCCCGTTGTGACATTGAAGATCATTTGATGGGCGCTGCTGCGTTTCGCGGGATGATGATTGACCGACGCAATGGGTAAGCTGTTGTTGGCACCAGCAACACCAGTACCACCCATAATGGCTGACAAGGTATCTCGGCGTTGCAACGGCTGTTGGCTGTGGACAGAGACCGTAATGTGCTCGTTCTCTAGCAACAACTGCAACACCAATTGCCGCGTGAAGCCGGAGATAGTTGGACGACTGCCAGCCGCAGAGCGCAATGGCTTGCAGATGATGGCGCCAATTAGCAGCGAAGTGAGCACTTCCTGATTGGCTGGATGACACGCACTTACACGTGTAAAGAAATTGATTGTTGCCCGTTCAAGACGAATGAACGTCTGCTGCATGGGCAACGTTTTGCTGAATTGCGCCAAGTGTGTGTTGCAAAGCAGCTGTAGCAGCGGCTTCCAAAACATTGAGCCTTGCAAAGTGCCCAGCCAGTCACGCATAGGACCCTCCGCACAGCACTCGGAAAAGAAGTCCAGCACTTTAGGAACATTCGCAGAGCTAAGCAGCGGCACTGTGCCCAGACCGACATTCGCCTCCGCTTTGTCAAAGTCAGTAAGAGAGGAATCTCCACCAGCAGTAACCTGATTGCTGCAAGAAGCTGCGGTCGTTGGCACTACAGATTGCACCTCTGTTGTTTGTAACATGTGTGTGCAGTACTCGTAGATGGCATGCGCCAGTAGCTTGGGCAAACCCGAGTCCAGCATCTGATACACGGCCACTGGAGACTGGCAAGCGAGTGCGAGTGTCTTTAGAAAAGCCGGATATTGCAGCAACTGTGTGAGATTTTCAGTGCCTTCGCGACGGAACCAAGCGCAGCCGCTTTGCACCTTGCTATCATCCGTTTTACCACGAGGCTGCTGCTCCAACTTTACACCTAACTTAACTAGCAATTGATTAAATAGCTCGGGCTTAATGTAGCACAGCGCGCATATAAGCGCATCAAAACTGCTCTTCAATGGCTCATCATGCTCAAGTTCAGCTATCCACCGATAGCAAGTCTCAAAAAATGCAGGTGTAATAAGCTGCGGGAGATCGGGTACCTGTTGTTGGCGCTGCACTTGCCACAAAATTGAGGCAATAACCTTAACAAACCCGCTTTGCGGATTATTACAGCGGGCCTGTTTGCTGTAAGTGTCATGAAGTTGCATAATCCAGTCCAAAAGCACGCGTAGCTTATCAAGCATGTGCGCTGTTGACCCGGTGACCACTTGGTAAATGAGATCACACACAGCATCGTTGGAGAGTTTAAACACTGCATAAACATTTGGCCAAATATTAGTATAGTACTTGACAGCGAAACTAAGTTGCGACTTACCCTGTGGTGTGGTATGCCAAAGCAAAGTTCGCAGAAGCTGCAAACTAAGTTCATGATTGTACGCGCCCAGTTTGATTAGTATAGTTTCAAGATGCTGCTGCGCAAAGCTAGGTATCATTGGCATAATGTTCAGCAGGGAGCAACAGGCCTCCAAAAATCCGGGATACGCAGCCGGATACGAAGCGATTAAATCTGCTAGCTTGCTATCAGGTTGCAAAGCAGCTACATGAAAGCATCGAGATAAAATGCGCACCCAACCGATACTAGTTTTGGCAAAAGCATCATCCTCCGGCAATGCATCTACATCCATAGCCGACAGCGTGGCCGAGCTTAGCGGAGCAGAGCAGGCAACGAACGATTCACCAAAAGCTCCTTGGCTGCGAAGTCCTTGCATTCGATTACCAAAGATCGTCTGACCCAAAACAGCAATCTGCACTAGCCCCACATTGCCGCAATCCTTGGGTCTACAAAAAAATGATTATTACAACTGCAATTGGCAGGTGACACCAACAAATGTTGCTTACTTGTAAAGTCTCAGTACAATGCTGGTAGCCACTTCAGCTTTAGCTAGTTTAAGACGTATACAGGTAAGGCCCGTGGTTGCCATGGGCGCGCCTACGGGAATTGAACCAACACCATAATCTCGAGACAGCTCCAAAGCTACAGCCGAGGGGCACGAAGCCAAACTAGAGGTATGCGGCACCAGCTGCACCTCCTTGAGCAAAATGGCTGTGGGCAGCGTTATCGTCAAATCAACGTGCGTCTCATTTGGATAGAACATATAGCTCCAGGCAGGCGAGCGTGGTCGTCTATGAGTGGCATTTGGATTTGAAATTAGCATTTCGGCACTTTGCGCCGCATCATTCTCCGATACTATGTGTGAAAAAGGCGCAAAGTTGATAAGTCCATCATACTGGGCGCTGCCGCTCCTTGACGGCTGTGCTGCTGTTGTCGTTGTTGGCGCCCCAGTGCTTGAGGTTGTCTTCTTACAGGCGTTACTGTTGCTAACAGGACTATTCAGCTTGAGGCGAGTATTACGCGTCATATGTTGCATAATCATTGAGATCTAGTTGTAAAGTAAAAAAAAGCAATACTGTAACAAATATTCTAGGTGAAAAATTCAGAATTCTGTTCATTTTCTCAATATACTGATAATAAAATATAAATTTTAGCCAAGCACATATAGCATATATTAAAGCATAACTTTTAGCCAAGTAGCGACTTACCAGTCCCGGTTGCATGTTTATAATAGTCTTGTTAAGTCGCACCAAATTATGACAAATGATTTGTATGCCACCTAGCTGAGTGAAAATTTGCACAGCCGCAGTCACTTCCAGCACCTTGGATATGTACCAAAGGAACGGTTCCGATAGTTGAAGTCGTGGTAATGTGGCATTGCGTTGTATGGTGGCTGCAACAAAAACACAACAATACCAACCGGTGCCTACAAATCAAAAACAAAAACTTACTCTCCTCTAGATATTGGCATATAGGTGCTACAACTAGACGTGGATTAGAGGCCCTCTCACTTAAAGTGATCATCAAACTGAAAACGGCATCTGCAATGGTCTGTGGCTCATCCAGTACCATATTCGTTTTGAGTGAAAAGAAGCAGCTCGAGGACATCATAGTGAACGTATTCGTTGAGCACTGAGAGAGGGCCCCAAACAAGCGCTTCATAGTGGGAAACTGGCGCAGCACTGCAAAGGAAATAATTGTCAAATTAAAAATACAATATGACAAAAAAAACTGAAAGTACGAACCCCAATCGGCTATGCATGGGACCTTGCTGCGATGCCCTTCTGTGTTCAGCTGCTCAGCTTTCGTTTCATCTGTTTGGCTTTGATTGGACAGCTCCTCCTCTTCAGGTATGGTGACCTCCTGTAGTATATAAAAGCCATTAATAACTATGGTATCCTCTGGCTGAATTAACATACGCTAGGTTGCCTGGGCATCTCCGTGAGAACCATATGCGAGGACAGTTTGAGTAGGTTTATAATCAACGAATTATCGCAGATGTTGGCATTTTGTTTAGAGGGATTTTCGGATCCCAAGACATTGGCAAACAAATTGCTGAAATTATTGCCAGCATTGCTATTCTCGTTGCCGCGCTGGCATTGCAGCTTTTCGCCATTGGAAATGTTGTTGAAGACTAGAAACGCTGAAAAAAATAAAATAAAATAAACTAAAACTGTGACTTTCGCCAGTAAGCAATTACGCTACTTACAAACACTTTCGATAATCTTAAGCGCAATGTTTAGATCGCCCTTGTCATTGGGCATTAAAAGCAGATCGCGTACCAGCTGATTCTGAGCATCGATTGGGCCTTGCTGGTTGCTAATAGCGCCGCCAGGCTGTACCAATTGCAGCACGACATGCAACAAAATGTCTTTAAGCCGACGCTTACATGGAATGAGTCCACCGCAGGTCTCGTTCTTGCTATGAAGCCATAACAGAAGTTCGTGTAGATGCTTGCAAATGGTAGGACCAGCCTGACAAAGATAGTTAAAACCTTTTTGTAAAATGGGTCCCTTTGTCAGGAGAAAGTAACTTACACAACGATTTGTAATAATGGAGGAGCTCATGCCGTAGCCGGAAAAAAAGCGCAGCAGCATCTTCTCAAAATTCTCATCGTTCACAATGACCTCATTAATTCGCGTGCAGTCTGAAACATCGTCGCCAATGGGCAACGAATTACAAGCTAGGAATAGACATTGGAAGCCTAAGCACCAAGTGCGCAGCTTAATGTCATTGTGCCACGCCAGAGCCAGTAAAAGTCCTTGCACTGCATTAGCACCAAATGGAATTTTTGGTATATCCGTTTGGGTGATGCCCGTCGTGTAGGGCTTGTCGGCCAGCTCGCAGTTAAGTGTTAGCCACATTTGCAACACTTGCTCCAGATGCACCCAAGTATCCTCATAATGCAGATCGGCCAATATAGAATCAAAAACGTTTTTCAACATAATATATGTGTTGCGTCCACTATAATCTGGGCCAGACCACAACTGCGTAAGATACTCTGGCCAGGGCGCAGCGTCTGGTGGAGCCGAAACGAACTCATTAGTCAGCACCTGCGGTAGGGAGGAGTACAAATCTAGCGATGTACGATTCGTCAGACGACGCAGCTGAGCTTCCACGTGCAGCTCCAAGCCAGCATCCAGACGTGTATCCATGGCGATAGATATGGACTTGCAAAAAAAGCTAAACGTATTCTTGCAGAGCGCATTACTCTCTTTTTTAGTAATTGGTTTTGTGCGCTCGATCATATCGATATCGTTCAGCATCTCGTCAAACTCAGTATCCTCGCATTCGATCAGAGATGGTAGGTAATTGTATTTGGCAGCTGTAAGGGATTAGCAAATTTCACAAATTAAAAGAAAAATAAATACAGGTGCAGTATAGTAGAGGTAATATGTTGACATGAGCATCGGTTTTCGGGGAATCCCAGGGAACATCGTCCCCACTTGGGCCTCCTAGAACTGAAGCCCATGTCAATGGGAAATTTTTTCTGCGGTTTAAGGTCTCTCTTTTTACCCTCCGGATAAAAGTCACTTGCTGTCGGCATATGTAGCACAGCCTGTGCGACGGAGGAAGAGAAGGATGCTAAAAAAATGAGAAATATATTTTTCAAAAACCAGTAGAGAACAGGGAAAAGCTCAAGCTACCATGCAATCCACAATAGCAATGGAAGCCTACCATCGAGCGATTGCCGAGGCTTAAATACACCCTTGCATTTTCCAGATACGTAAACCAATTTACACAAAAATATGAAGATCTCAACCAAGAGCCAAATTCTAAAGATATTACTATGAATACCAATAACTGTTATGGTTTTGAAAAGTCAAACGGACCGGAAAATTCTCAAATAAATGTTCACCATACCCGTTTTGCAAGAATATAACACAATATCTGATAAGGAAAGTTACTTACAGCTATAATCACTAAAAAGATCGCGAGTCTCCTGCACAGCTGTCGTCACAATGGAACGAGCTCCATCGTTTGTCGGTGTGGCATCGTTATCCCTGTACTGTTTGTCTGCATCCAACAGGTCCTAAACGAGAAAATACTCTTAGTCAATTTTCTAAAATTAAGCGAATGAAATATCACCTGGAGCAGGCAAGTAATTGCATGCACCGCCCAGGGCTGTTGCTGATCGTTCCACACGGCCAAACGTATGAGCTGCTCGAGTTGTGTTGTTGTCACAATTTTGCACAGTCTCACCGAGGGCCGACACGCAGCCACTAGACGCGCTATTACTTTGCACGTTAAAAGAAACTGATCCATATTGCAATCGAAATCCATTTCAAGCAACAGAGCGAATAACCCACGAATGACCACTTTGATGTTGGTCATGCTTAGCGTTTTTAGACCTTTGTCAAAGTTACTGTCTCCATCAATACTAGCTCCCAAGCCGTCGAGATGTTTAGGCGATGATGTGGAAGTGCTAGCGGCCTTAACTGAGCTGCCACTGGCATTGGCGCTAGGCGCACACATACTACTAGATACCATATTTATTTTTCCACCTGTTGACGTTGCTTTGCTTGCACCGCTAGCCTTAGATTTAGTCGACAGCTCCATAAATATACCGGGATGCTAAGGGATTCAGAATTAAGCAAGTGTAATGCTTTTTACAATAGTAGTTTATATTGTCTTACCTCATTCTGTATCATGTAGATTTTCTTGCCCCAGTCTGTGTAGGGTTGAACAGAGTATTTGTTCTGCTGTATTATTCGCTTCTTAAAGCAACGTAATTGCTTACTGTTCGGAGTATTATTGGGTCTGGTCTTTGTAAAGTCGCTTTCACAGCTCATAAAATCCCATCGCGCCGCCGCTGTGTTGATATAAAGCATTAGTATTCTACGAATTGGTGCCAGGTAAAAGATTCTCACATTTATCCTTGCGCTCATTGTTGTCATCTAGACATACAGAAAGGAACAATAAAAGCCACGTGATCAGTTGAAGGTCGGACGTGCTTCCCATGGCAGCGCTGCGTTCGGCTGCACTGGCTGAAGTACTGGGCTGCTCGGACTGAAACTTGTAGTGCGGCGAAATAGGCGCCAGCAACTTGACTAGCGTCTTGAGCACAGCATCTATGACTATGGAACGACAAGCGCCCATTGCAATGCTGCGACGCCCCAAATATGTGAGCAAAAAGAAGATGCTGTAGAATAGTAAAAATCAATTAAATAAGTGCACAATATACTTTGATGGCAAGTAAATTAACATACCGATCCTGTGGAAATGCCTTACAATTTTGCGCCGAGAATAAACTACAGAAAGTATCAGCCAAAAAGTCACCCCACCAAGGCTGAAAGCAGCACATGCGAACCAGTAGGGAACATGTTGTCAATTGCAATTGTGCATCACCATAAACAACCAAAGAATTAAATAGCGTTTTAGCAGTAACCACATTGAAGCGCTGATGCACGGGCAGTATGTTCTTAATACCATACTCAATAGAGAAGTGCAACAGCACCTCGACGAGACTAAGACTCAATACGCGAAGTTTATCCCGCGATGCGTTGCGCAACGTCTCCTCAATAAGTACAGGAGTTGTAGGCGAACGAAGCGCCTTGGGTGATAAAGCACGTTCCAAACGCAGAACCACATTTCGGATAACGTTGATTTGGTATTGTAACAGCATGCATTCTTCATATAGAGAAACAACTTTGTTGTTATTGTCCATACCACAGCTGAGCTCTTCATCACGTTGCTTGTTAATAAAGGCCTGTAAATGGGCTACATTGGATAGCTCGCTGTTGCGCATAGGCGACAGAAGTTCCATCAATTTGCAGCTGGCCAAGCTGTAACGGCAGTGTACATCCTCGTAAAGGGCATTAAGCGACTTAAGGTGCGTCTGCAACGATTGGGCTGGTTGTTTAACAAAACGCACTAGCTGATCACCATAACCATCGTGCTCCAGTACAACAGGATGACCAAAGAAACTTCCCAGCGGAACCTTACACTTGGTGGATGACATACCGATACGTCCAACGATTGTCAACTTCAAATAGCGACAAATGGGTGGTGGCTGCATATCGCTGAGCACCAGTGTTTTGGTCTGTATGTCTGAGACCTGCACAAGGCGCGTGCAGTCCGTCTCCTCGTCAAAGCACCAAATATCAATATTGAGGGATGTAAGATCATCACAGGCGGGTATTACCACATCCGTTAGTAGTATGTGCTGGCCAAAGTCAAGCACGACAAAGCGACGGGCGCCCGAATGCATGCGGTCCACAACAATCATTAACTTGGGCGGGGGCGTGAGAAGTTTGTGCCAAGCAATTGGCGGGCAGGGATTTGCACTCAAATTTTCCATGATTTTCTCTCGCTCTACGGCATCATCTGTCATGTTCTGTGAGTTGTCATTGCCACCCGTTTGTGATGCTGGTTGAGACTGGTCTGACGATTGCGAAAACGAAGCCTCTTCAGGTAGAACATCGAGGCAAGACTTCATTACGGGCTTCTCCCAGTTATCCAGCTCCCCAAAGGCATCGTAGGAGTTTTCCTCGTTTATGCCAAACTTCTTTTGTATGTAGCTGTTCCAAAGTGTGAGCTGTGGCAAAAACTTAGATATCTTCAGCTTATCAATGATCGCTGCCTTCTCGATTTTTACCTCCTCTTTTAAAGCATGCTCCAAATCGGTGAGAGATGATACGGCTGAAATAATTTTTGAGTCAGAGTTCGGAATGGCCCAATTAACTTTTTCATAACACAACAAAACTTACAAGCTTTATCCTTAAAGCCATTAACCATGCCAAAAGAACCAAATGCGGTTTTTACATCCTTGTCTTTCATCTCTTCCACCAGACACTCTACATCATTAACCAAATCGTTTAGCTAAAAATAAAATTTGTATAAAAACATTTGCAAACATATTTTAAGCCTGTAATATTTTAATACCACTTCAAAATTGCAACAATGATTTATTCTACTGAGAAGTGTTATTTACCAATTCTTCATCCTTGCCTTTGGTCGCAACCATCTTTGGCATCATCATCACATCCTCAATGACTACACTGGCAGCACCATTAACTACGCTGTCAATGTTATCAATGCGTGTGGCCTCTGATGTTTGTACACAATTAAAATGCAGCTGCACCACCTCCAACAGTCCACGCAATTGATTGCTAATACTCTTTCCGCGTATTAGATGCGGAAAGGTGCGAAAGTCAACACCATCTGCAAATAGTTATTTATTAATATATGAAACCAACATAAATTTATAGACTAGCACCTATGGAGCTCAAACGCTTGATGTCGAGACCTGTCACTGGCAATATAGTTGCACTGCTTCGTATCACACTTGTAAGTGCCACCGCCGAGCTTGATCCATGTCGATTTATATTGGGGAAATCAAAGTCGAAAATTTCCGGCTCAAAGGGATAGCCATACAGTCCAAAACGCGTGCTCAGCAGTGCGCAATGCGGGTCCCATCGTTTATCAATTTCGCTAGCTATGTCTTTAAGCAAATTGATAGCATACTCTGAAATGCTGTTGTGCGACTCTGCAGTGGATGTAGCGCAGGTAAGCATCGTATACCAGCGCACCACACTAGCGCACTGTGCTCTAGGTAGCTCATGGAACGTATTGGTTATTGCAGTTTTAATGCTGATATCCAGGGAAGCATGTTTCTGTAGCTCTCGGGGAAGATTGGCCATGCCTCTGAAAGAAAAACAAAAGTTTATATTATATTACAAATAACAAATAAGATTGATTCTATTCTTACTCTGTCAGCATGATCAACAGTTTAACACATTTGTGCGCCGTGGTCCGTTCACTATAGATTATACAGTTGCGTATCAACTTCTCGATGTGCTTTTCGGACAAATAAATGCACTCAAACTGCTGCGCCAGCAGATCGTTGATATTAGCTGCTGTTTGTTTGTTTATCTGGTCCTTGAGACGCTCCGACTTTGGCGAACGGAAGCGATTTAAGCGGATGAAACAAATCCAGTTGAGCACATCAAGTGCCAGATTCTTGGTCAGCGGAGTTGATTCAGAATCAGTGGCAATGCGGAAGAGCTGTTCCAACAGTCCGTTACTATCCAGCATGGCAATGCGCTGAATGCGCCCATTGCTTATGCGACTATGTGACTTCACGGCGCGCACACTTATCGAGATCTCGTGTAACCAATCGCAACCTGCAGTAAACAAGGAAATATTATGATCAAAACAGATTAATAAAAAAAATAAAACAGGAAAAGTTGTAGAAACGGCGGGAACTACCTATTAGTTGCCCGGTGTTTCGACGAACAAAAGGACCAGGTGCAGTGGGCCGAGACCTTAACGAATGCTTTGGTACGACGATTGTTTGAACATGTGGAAGTTCTGAATTGTTGGCATATTTGTTCAAAAGCGGACCGCTCAAAACTGAAATAATTTTCATTTTTCCCGATTTCGCATGGGCTTGATTTGCATTGGACACCGTGGGATTTATTTTGCTGCTTCGCGTACGATTAACACAATCTTCAACTTGGTGCGGACTCTTGCGTCGCGCAGAAGAAACTGCAATTGTTGGGGAGTAAAAAGCGTGACCAAAACCAAAAAGGCAACGATCAGCAATATATTTTCGGTACACCGAGAATAAACTACCCTTGCAAATAATTATTCAATTAAGTAAAGAGCCCTAAACATTGGTAATAGCGGTTTATTTAAAGCTGAGTTAGCAAATTTTCTTTTGGTCCGGACCTAACAACATCAGCTCAAATTGGCTAATGCTTATATAGAAAAACTTACAGAAAACATTGAAAAATATTTTGTTGATCTATTTTTCTCAAGCAGTTTTTTTTTGGATATGTCTCTGTTACAAGTGAAAACCAAACGTGACTTGTTTTATTTTTTTTAATTTTGCATTATTATGCAAGGGTATGGTTTCAAACTTTTCTCATTTCTCATTAATAGTTCAGCCCTTACAAACCTCTCGTTTTGCTCTGTCCCTCCTTGGACGGATCCGATACGGTTTTAATATGCAGAAGAAAATTACGTGTGCGTGTCTTAAACAGTTTGGGCGAGGTTAAGGTGGCGGTACCGCCTTGATCGCAAAGATCAATGCATGAAGAGAGCTCGATGGGGCCGGCCAGCACTTCGGCATTGTGGGCCAACAGATATTCCTCACTGAGTACCGGATTCTCACTGGCAACTGTAAATTATGAATGAACAGATACGTGTATAAAGAAACGAATATGAGTTGTTTACTATTTGGTGCCTCACTATATGAGAAGTCAATATTATCATCAATGACGTTGGGTTTATAGCTGGCGTGCGGTCCTTTCATTCTGTAGCCAAAGCCATTTGTGTTCTGCTTGAGTAAGGTGACCTGAATGGCTGCTGGATTAGAGCACTGCTGGTACACAGTAAATTTTAAATCGATATGGCCCAATGAAACTGGCTGTGCCAGGTTCAGCTCAATTATGTGCTCGTCCCATGTGGTCCTATAAAAAATATAAAATGCTTAAAACATGGAGCCCATAATATTCGTGCTCAACGACTTACGCATCGTTGTGCAGTCGCCAAGTCCGTGTGAAGTCACGCTCATCGCCTCCATGACGCATATTTTGCGATTGCTTGCGCTGCTTTTGTACCTGGCCCAGATCGTTCCAGCAGCTTGGTACTTCAGCTGAGTACACTGTTAGCTTGTCTTCGAACTGCGTGAGTGCGTACAACACGCGCAGGTCATCGATCGTCAGGTCTGTGGTCTTGTATGCTAACAGATTTGTGTTGTTGCCCATTAAAGATGCAACCGATGGTGAGGTCTGCACATGTGCGTTTTGACTTGATGTCCCGGCGCCTGCCTCGTTGCTTACATCCACACAAATCATCGGATCGCTCATAACAGAGTCAATTCCCGCAGCATTGCGGACTCCATCGGTTACACTCAAATCCATACCATGTGTCAATGTGGTGCTGCAGTCGTCCTCCATTTCCAGTAACTCATCACCAGAGTCATTGTCGCCGTCGTTAAGCGAATAAAACAGCATGCCCCCCTGGCGCGAACAGCAGCAAAGTCTGTCCAAGTTGCGACAATAGACCACGGCTTCAAAGTGCTCACCCTCTTCCTCTATGACAGAAGTTGCCTGAAAATCGGCCAGGGAATAAATTTCAATGCATCCATCGGCGCACACCACACAAACGGAGCCCGCTTCTTTCACATCAGATGAAGCTGACGACGCATATGGAGGCAGGATGCACAGCTGCTTAGGACACTTTGCACGGCTGAAGGTCATGGCAAGAGTATAATCATTGGAGATTTGCATGTCATCGTAATCAAAAAGGAGCAACTGTGCGGCTACATTGCATTCTGAATTATTTTCATCTGCATTAAAACAAAATTTAATAACAGTCTATTAGACAATGTGAGACGAAATTTAAAAAATTATCTATTTTTGTATCTGGTATAGTTCAAACAGTTATATAACTTCATATTTATAAGAATAATAAAATATTTCACTTACCTATATCCGCGGGTAAGTTGTGTTGCTCTTCATCTTCTTTAGCGACCGTGGCCATTATGATCTTTGTGGGTTCCGAATCTGGAGCTTTGGTGCGCATCAGTTTCACCAGCAGCTGATTGCACTTGGGACTGGTGGGCATAATTTCCGCTATCTCTACAATTTCCTGCAAATCTAATGGAACTCCGTTCGCACTACGTGCGCCATCCATGGCATTCATGCGTTTGACGCTTGTCCAGCTTTCCACTAGGCAGTCAATTTCTTCACTGGCGGTCAACTTGTCGCTAGTGCTATTGTTGCCGTTGATGACATTATTGTTGTTATTGTTGTTACTTGTGGGGCCTACGCCTATAGTGTTGCTGTCATTGTTGTTATTGTTATTTTGATGTGATACCTCGGCCTGATCCATAAGCTTGTCCATGTCATTGCTCATACCTAACAAGCTGTTGCTAACATTCACCGTATTTGAGGAAACCATTAGCCCGGAGGAAGAATCGTCCAGATTACTATCCAGTATTTGCGATAAAGTGGACAAATCAAAGTCGTATAGAACAGAGGAGTTGTTTCCGCTCTGATTGACATCATTGTTTTTGTTATAAGTCATTAAAGCGGATACAAAGCCGTTGCTGTCGAAGCCGTCGGCAAATTTTTCATATGGCGTCAGCGATTTGTTGTCATCGTCCTTCGAGGATTCAAGACTCACTTGGCTGGCTACAACATTTGAGTCACTGGAAGCTGGGAGATTGAAATAGAAATAGTTAAGTGCACGGATCAAATTAATATAAACACTGAGTCAATTGTTTTAAGGTAAATAAATAAATAATAAAACACTAAATATAATCGAAGAAACTAACCGAGCAACAAACTGAATAATTTAGCTTAATATAAAGAGTTTGTTCACCTGTTTAAAATTATTTTCTTTTTTTAATTGCAGCCAATGTAATTTACATTTATTTCAAGTTAATTTTGCAATCTTTTTTAAAGCAATAAAAATGTTTAGATTGACCCTAACTTTTATAGGATTATTCTACTTTAACATTTACACACAATAGTGAAATTTTAAGTAGATGAAAAGAACTTACTGGTACCCAACTGCGAAGATGTCTTTTTGAGCTGACCTCCAATGCTTGAGACACTGCCGCTGTCATTGCTGATGATCGCCGAGTTCTCGCTGTGCCTATCCAACTCCACAATGTTGAGCACCACCATACGTAATGCCATCTCTCCACTACTTTGCCGCACAGTCACACCTAGCACTATCTTCGAGCCCACAACTCCGGCACGCAGGGTCGATGTAGATGTTATATGCTGTGTATTAACGCCGCCAAACTTGCCACTGCTGTGCATACTGGCAGCGTGAGCAGCACTACTGCTGTTTCCGCTTCCACTATAGTTTTCCGAGTATACATAGTTGACTTTAGTGCGGGCGCGACCATTTGGTAGCACGCAAATGGCCGTAATACGGGCCCACTCAAAGTTCTCTTCGAAAACTTCTTTGAGCAGTGTGGGAACATGGAAACTGTGCATGAGCTTCAGGTGACGCTCAATGCTCCACACGCTCAGCTCGCCTGACTGAGTGCAGCTCGTGCACAGAACATTTGCATAATCGCTGTTAGATATTATATCAAAGCCCATGCCCGGCGAGGTCGATGCTGGATTGGTGGCATAACTGATTGACAGCGGCACATTTTGAGTGTATTCACCCTTAACAAACGGGCATAGAGGTGAGTGGCGCTCGTGCTCGCTCCAGGGTTCGTCTGTTTTCTCCCAGCAAACCAGGCACACGTTACATGTAAAACACATGGCACGATCTTCACCCGATGATGAGGGCTGATGATAAAAGCCGGCTTGTGCCATTTGATCTGGCAGCGCCCATTTATAATCCATGTGAGGCCACTTCTCAAATGTCTGGCGCCGCACTGCTTCCGAGTGCATAAGAACGCGCTGAAAATTGCTAAAGTTCCAGCCGTAGTCTGGCAACCGGGAGCCCATTAACAAGTCCGTTAGGCGCTCATTGATGGCCGATGCTATGGCCAGTACAGGAATGTGTCGTTCCAAACGTTTCAGCAATATGACCACATTGTTTGCTACCAATTTTAGACTGGAATAGGGTACCTCCAAGCAAATTGTATTCCACTGCAACATTAATACGAAAATAATATATATTATAACGTTTATACGACATACCGCTATTTAAGAAATATTAAGCCCGTGTATATTGTAAGCCACAGTAAAAATAATTTTGAATTCTAAACACATTCAATATTATATTATATGCGCAAGTACTTATATGGCGACTAATGTAAATGTAAACAGCCATTAGTGATGAAAAACTTACGCGTTGCGCCTTTATGCCCTTCTTAGCGTTAAGCTGAGCCTGGTTAATCTTCAGTGTCAGCTCATTGCTAATATCACACGGACACTCGAGGCCTTCGCTCTCCAGTTCGTTTATGCAATTCTGAAAGATGATCGCCTCTGACAATATAAGCTCCAGCTTAATGTAATCATCATTCTGACCGATTGGCGCCTGCAGTATGGTGTCCAATAACAAAACGCCGTTGTAGTCGCCGCGTAGGCCCAAATTGTGACCATCCCAAAACAAGATTTTATCTTGCAATGGCATGTAGCGTCCATGGATTACACTGTCCGCTGCAAAACGTAAGAATATAATGTTAAGTAAAACAAAATTGCAGTTTTTGTCACAAAAAATTCACAACTCACGCCCGCCATCTCATTACATCAAAGCTTGCAATTAGTTGGATTGAATGAGCAAGCAAGGGCATACATACATACACATGTAGACACACATAAATATGTACACATGTCAGCGCAACATATGCGTAAACTGCGTAATAAGTAAAACAATAACAAACAAAAAATAAAAAATTAAATAAATAAAACCCCATGATTGCTTGATCTCTCTATCTCTCTATCGCAATCAAGAACATAGCAAATAAAACAATATTATATCCTTGCATCTGTTCAAAGTTTCCTGTCAAACATGCACCAATACAGTTGCATACAAATGTATGTATGCATATTGAAACTTAACGAATACAGACAAATTTACAAAACACAATGCAATAAATTGACATTTGTTCGTGTATTTGTATTTGTGCGTCTGTGTAGTAATTTTTTTTCCATACATTCATATATACATATGTGTATACAGTAGTGCTGCTGGTACTGCTTACCATTTGTACTCAATTGATACGTCTGAAGTATAACGCCGGAATTGACATCTAGAACTTTCACTAGATTGTTGACACCAAATGCAAGCAGCACATTTAATTGCGGATGATAAACGATGTTGCGAATTTCGAACACTGGTGCTCCGCCAGGCAATACACCATCGTTGCTGCTGTCATCGCCCACATCCAAGTAGCCGTCTTGCTTTAGAATACGCTGTTCCATGCTTTAACTACATGCGGGCGTCGTGCGCGCGTTTAGTTTGGTTGACAACGCGAACTTTGCCTATCCTTGGTAATTTTTGTTTCACAATTGATCAAGAAATTTTCACAATTAAAATTACTTTCGTCGGGACTCTTGCTGCTGTGCTGCAGTTTTTCCTAAATGTGTCCCCTTTTCTTCCTTCTGACAGATGAGTATTTGATTTGCCATTCGCCTTAGCGTTTGCCAATTGTCAAAAACTGCAATTCAGAGTTGTGTAGGCATGTAGGGGTAGATTCAAAGTTTAGTGTTAAAATAAAAATGCTAGATAATCAACAGCTACTTTGATTTGCAGCAAACAAAATAAAATTCTATTTGTAACAACAAGTACAGATTGATTTAATTTTTCACCCGACACATTCGTTACTCAGCACTATTTTGCCATTCACATCGTAGCGCCTTTTGTTTACATTGTCAATCTAGTTTTACGGCAACTGCAACAAGATGAATATCTTACCCAAAAAACGGTAGAACATAAATGTGGTATTAAAAATCAACCATTGATTAAAAATTAATTCATTATATAGCTGGCATGTGCGCACTAAAGATAATATTGCCCGGGTGCGGCGTGATGAAGCAGCTGCTCAGGAAGACGAAAAAAAACGGCTGGACAAATTGCAATTGGCCGTAAGTAATCAGAATACCTACATATATAACCAACCATAGATTCACTAACTACCAACTTCAAACTCGTAAAGGAGAGCGAGGCGCGTATCAACTATTTGAGACGTCAATCGGGTTTGCCTAAAAACTTAATAGAAGGGACTGGGACTCAAGAAAGCAGTGAAAGTACATTAGAAGAGGCCGCAACACACAGTTCTGGTGTTACATCTGCAGTAGATCTATTTGCGGATTACAAAAGTCATGTAAAGAAAACAAACAACGATTTGCAAAAGGAAAAAAAGGAAGAACAGGAGAAGTATGAGAAACAAGTCGGATACCTCACCTATCTGGGGCAGGATACAAATGAAGCTCTCAAGGTGCGTAGTTGGTATGAATTGGCCCCAAAACGTCAGGAAAATGCTGACTTCGATCGAACTGAAATCCAATTAAAACAAAAGCTGTCACAAGATCCACTCACATTAATAAAGACACTGATCCCAGGAGAAACACAGCCTGTTCGAAATTCGATCAAACGACGAAAACACACACCGACACCAGAATTATCGCCTGTATTAGTGCGTATGTTGAAATCCAAGAAACACAAAAAGGGCAAGAAACATGACAAAAAACACAAGAAACACAAACATAAAAGGGACCAGATTGAAAAAATAAAAGAAGAGCTGGCCACGAACCCAAAGCGCGACAAATTAAACAGGTTGCGCAAAGAACGGCTGCTGCGTGAAGCGACAGAGCGACGTCGTCAGGAACAATTATTTGCCCCCAAGGATTCGGCAATGCCAAGTAATGCTGCGAACACGCCGGCACCTACGCCGCGAATAGTTCAAAAGTACAATAGCCAATTTAATCCGGAGCTTGCTAAACAGAATATGATTTGAACATGCATGTATAAATGAATTTAAAACATTTTGTTGAATTGTTGAAATGTTGTACATAATAAAGGTTACATCTGTATATATAAAGCTGCTTGACCTGACTGACTGACTGATTAACGCACAGCCCAATACGCAAAAGCTAGAAAGCTACAGATTTTACTGAAGTTACCCTCTGTGATGGAGGTGCACGCTAAGCCGGGGTTTTGGGAAACTCCATCCGCGGTAGTATGAAACTTTTTGTTTACCATCCGATTGGCCGTACTTGTTTTAAAAGATCTTTGTTCAAATTCATTTGAGGGCCGGAAATGAGGGCTCAAGATTTTTGGGATAAAGTTACGAGTTCAAATGAATTTCCGAAGATCTTAATGAGACGTGTTTCACAATTTTCGCAGTAGCTTTCCAAGCTTTATTTTCGGAAAATGCGATTCATAGATTTTTTGGGCGAAGATTTAATTCCAATCGGCTTCATTGTTAAAGATGTTTGTGAAAATTAATTTGAGATGTATTTCACACATTTTGCAAAATCCATCCGTCTTGATGGATAAATGCGAGTGACACGGAAAATTTAGGATTCGTTTAAACGAAAACCTTGATCTATACGTTAAACTATTTTTACGTATCCGTGAACCTACGTTTTGGTTCGTTGAATTTCTTTATTAAAAATTAAGTCTGACAAATTTCGATGACAGTTTAATAACAGCATTAAATATGCAACTCGGAGCAATGATCTTTTAGGTTTTACCAGTCCCCCAAATATTTTTGGATAGATCCTTAGAGGAGCTTATTAGTAAGCTTCTTTAGAAATCTGATCACTACAGATCTTAACTTGTAAAAAACGGCCATTGCACAAAAACGATTTTACTTTTAATATTGCGAATGACGCGATTATTAAGAACACTATTTTCTCTACTAACACCCTTGTTCTTAGCTGTAAGCTCTAATAGCGTTACTGACAAAATTGGCTGTGAAAAGGGGCACATCTGGCCGGACTGGCAAATAAAACACCTCCATCGGTCGGAGATGCTATTAGAAAATTGTGTATTCTAACTAGGCTTTTAGCATTTAATTCTTATAATGAATGTATGTTTTAAATAATTAGGAAGACACTCGTCTTGTAGACCATTAATAATTAAATCAAATATATAAAAAATATACATGCATATTTAATTAAATTCGTAAAACCAAAATACCTGGTGTATGTATATTTAAATCATATTTCTATAGATTTCATTGGCGCCAAACTTTGCAATAGCGCTCTAGTGCAACGTTGTGAGCAGTGTTGCAAATCATCGGAAACCGACTAACACATGCACATGCCATTTTGGCGGTGCACGCTTCGCAATGCTTGGTTATTTCATCTCTAAGTTTAGCGTCGTTTGATTCGTCGTTGAGATTTCACAATTGTAATTTGCGTTGTAAGATTTTTCTGTTATCTTAAATATTAAAAAAATTGTAAGGAATTGCAAGTTAAGAAAGTTGAAATGGATGACGATAATAACGACGCTCCACGTGGTAAGTAGCAATGAAAATGCTTGGCCTGCGGCTGGGTTATTTAGTTTTGTTTCAAGCAGAAAACCGTTTGAATTCAAAATGTCACGCCATGAACGGAAAAAACGTGTTGTTCCGTCCTAATCTGCATGTACTGTAAATGCCAGCTAACATATCTTTCCATATTTTACCACTTTTAGTAACTCGCGCACGTACACGCCGGCTGTCCGTCCTGGATACAGATACTCGCCCTTTGACGCCCATACTAGATGTGACCGCCGACCGCGGTAAGTACATTTTGTATTTACTGAAACGTAATCGATACTGATCGTCGTTGTTGTTGTTGTAGCATCTCCGCGTCCAATGCGCAGAACTCGCTTAAACTCGGCAACAATCGATTTGAGGACTCCGACACGGGCCACCCGCTTGTCGGTGGCCCGTGGAGAGACTCCAGAGCCTGCCACCCCTACTCTGACCTTGTCCTCTGTCAAACGGGGCACCCGCACCCCGGCTAAATCTGTGCGTAAACAGTTGCCGTTACCAGAAGTCGTAAACGAAGAAGACTCCAACACAAAGGTGCAAGTGCAGACAAAGGCTGAGCCTGACAATGACAAAATGAACGTCGTTTCCGAAGAGTCTGAAGCTGCCGTTGTTGACAACAGACCTTTGCAGACACAGTTTGGTACGCCACCAGATGAGAGGCGTGTGACGCGTTCAATGTCGAAAACACCTCCAGTAATTGGACGCACTGTAAACAATACGCCTCATCAGGAATTTGCTATGAAAAATTCACCTGAAGAAAAACAAAATCAAACAAAACAGTCGATTGAAATAGCCACTGAAATTGTAGATTCGCCAGTTGAAGCACAACAGTCGATGCACTCTGATGAAGGCGTTACTAAGGAGTCGGTTACTACCACTAAAGTGGGGGATAGGTCCACAGTTATGGCAACTCCCAAAGTTAAGGTCAAGGTCAAAGACATTCTAATTGGAAACCAAGAGGATATGTCAAAAGTTGACAATGAGATAAATGTGTCCAATGTGGGTGTAGTCAAGAATAACGACGCGGACGGTATAATAGCGAAACCTATCGAAGACAAACAGGAGATAAAGAAGTCTGCTGACATCACTGATAAACCCTTTACAACTGACGGGGATATATCCATGAACCAGCTTGATGTGCCGCCTGAGAGTGATGATACAGGTACTCATGCTCATGTTACCGAAGATGTCCGTTTGCCGGATCTAACACCTAATATAAAGACTCGTTTGGTAGAACAAAAACAGTCAGAGCCCATGAAAAGTGTGGGCTTCAATAGCAATAGTCAAGTTGATGAGCCTAACAAGCAGAAGTATCCAAAGACCCCAGCACGCGTAAGTACGCCTGCGGGAGATATTTATAGCCTCGCGGATCGTAAGGCTAAAGGCGAGGTTAGGGATAAGGGCGAGACGCCCTTAAAGCCCTTAATCTTAAAGGGACGCAGCAGCTCAACTCCTCTAGCAAAGCTGGAGCCGTTATTGAACCAAGCTAATGCGTCCAGTGAGCCAAATCCGCCTCCCCCACAAATTGATATGATAAAACCTCTCTCAGCGTTGGAAGACAAGGAAATGAATGTCAAGACAGCTAAAGAGAAACCCACACGACGTCTTGTCAGCGAAGACGAGGATGAAGAGGAAGATGAATACGAAGATCGATCTGTGTGCGAGTTTTTTGCCAACGAGGTAGAAGTTGTTAATAATTATCAATCCGGCGACTCAATGGACAGTTCCGTCCGCCATGAGATCGAAGAAAATGAAATACCCCACGATGGTGAATCAGTGGGCAGTCAGGACACAATTGATGATCACTCTGATGATAGTGTCGATGAAAAAATGTCGTTTATAGTCTCCGATAACGAAGATGATGACAATAATATTGAATCATTGTGCTTCTCGTCGGGCTCTGAAGAAGAAGCTGACTTTGAACCAAAAAAACGGCGTCGTATTATTGTTCATGACAGCAGTGGTGATGAGGATCCTGAGGAAAATAAAGAAATTAAGAAAAATTATGCTTCGGAAGAAGAAAACCCGACTGAAAAATCGGTACAAATGGATAAAAATGAGAGATATATGAATAGAGAAGCAGGTCAGCTGGCAGTCGAACAAACCGACAAGCTATCGACATGCGAGATATCACCAGAATTAAAGCCAAATAACTCCGATCCCCTTAACAAAACGGCGCCGGAACTTGGCATGAACCTGGACGAAGAGTTCCAAAAAGATGCGGTTCTAGCGGTAGATGAAGTTGTTTCCAGTTGCAATGAGAGCGAGGAGCAAGAGGCCAAACAAAATACGAGCAAGAGCATCTATGAAGTGCTCGATTCTGGTGAGGAATCAAGTGAAAACGAAGAGTATGCTTGTGATAAGCCGACACCTGACGATCATGAAACCACTACAGAGGATGAAAAATCTAATTCAAACGAAAATCTCGCGAATTTTGATGAGTCGCCTATTGTTAAAGAAGAAAATCCAATTTCTGGTGAAGAGAAACAAGAGGTGGTTGTCAAGTCAGTGGCACCTACCAGCGAATCGTCGACATTCCACGCAAAACAAAAGCGTGAGGAAGAGGCAGCGCTTCTGGATGAGCTCTCCTCCTGCGACTTATCGCACTTGCGGCAAATGTTCAATCCCCTCCAGAAGTCGCGTCGGCAAACGCTGTACGTACAGGATCCCCATAAAGCCGTTAAGGAGCCGAAACCAAAATTGAAACGTCGCAGTGAACAGTTGAACAGCGATGTCAATCCATCGCAATCGTTCATAGAAACTCTGGCCGAAGAAAAGATCCAACGGATGAAGCGCAAGCGTATGTCAAAGAGTTTTTGCGGAGCTGTCGATGGCTTGGACACCAGTGTACTAACGGAAATGCAAAATAAAAAGGCCAAAAACTGTGAGTCAGCAGCTAGCGATAACGAAATGGATGTGGTTGTCGAAGCTGTTAAGGAGGAACTGCCTACTCCCGCTCCCATGTCGGAAGCGAAAGCCAATGATGAACTGTCCGTAGAGAAAGTAGTCCAGCCAAAGAGTCGCAATGATTATATAGAATATTGCGATACCCTGATCCGGGCGGCAAATGAAGCGAAGCTGGAGGAGAAGAAACAAGTAAGCCAACCAATCATATAACTGAATAAAAACAATTTAATTAAATTCCAAAATTCTTCAGCGTATCGCAGCGGGCAAGAAGCAAAAGAGTCGCCTGTACGATGCTACTCTGTCTACTTGCGTCGCCGATTCCGCCAATGCCGCTTCAGTTGTCGCAGCCGCAACTAAATCGGTGTCGGATAAGCCGACCAAGATTAAAAAAAATGTGAAGCGTCTGCAAGCCACCAAGCAAGCTATCAAGCGTGCCATGCAATTGCTTGCGCCTGATGCAGCAAATAAAGAGGTGAGTTCCCAAAGAATTTTTGGGTGTCACTTCTTTATGTGTCCAACGTTTGCCTTTTATAGCCCCAATCGCTAGCCCGGAAACTGTCTCCTCAACCGGATATCAATGCCAAGTCCGTAAAGTCTAAGCACCAGACGAAGACGAATAAAAAGAAGCCTACAGCCATACAAGTGTCCCCAGTAAAGAGCTCTGACGAAGAAAATCACCATATCCCCAAACGTATTAAAACGAGTGCCGGCTATGTAACGGTCATGTCCAAGAAAGAGCGAAAACGAATTGAAACTTTTAAAACATCATCCAGCATCGTGGAAGTCGAGCCCTGCACTCCCACCCAAAAGTATTTTAAAGAGGTTCTAGCATCACCCAAAACCCGTCACGGGTTTAAAGAGATGCCTGCCACCCCGAAAACGTCTAAAAAGAAGTCAACGTCTGTACGTAACCCAGCTACGGAGGCGGCTTTGCGCTTTAAAAGGGAAATATTTGGTAGAAGTTATAAATAAGAAAATTAATATTAGCAATTAGTTAGCCGTTGGTTGTAAACGCAGTTATGTTCTTTTTTTAAGTTTAAAAATGTTCTAAATTTGAATTATTTTTGCATTGGAAATTTTGTTACAGTTAATGCTGAGGAAATCGAAAAGAAATGATATATTTTTATACAGTAAAAGATCGGATCGAAGCTTAGCTAACATGCTTAAATATTTCATTTGTTCTGATCAAATACAAGCCACAATTTATTAGCGATTGTGAATTTAAAATTTAATTGTTAAAATGGTACCCATGTATGAACAAATTCATACAAACAAAGGCATTTAATCCAAAATAAGTATTCGCATTTCTTTTTCAATATTTGGATATAATTGTATGTAAATTTTCAATAATTAATAAAATATACCACTAAAAAATAGATTATATGAAAAAAACAAATAACAATATTCCACTAGATCTGGCGCACTATAAGTGCTGCATAAACTGCTGAATATCATATATAAACTTGATTATTATATACAAAAAAGCGCCTTTATGAACTCTTGCCACTGATCTGTACGATCTGCTTAATTTTTAAAAATTAAAAATATGTACACTGCACACATATTTTACAAAGGATCTGGTAATATTTTTTAACGAATAGTCCTGGAGTTAAGGTATTATTTCATTGCAGATAATAAAACATTTCTAATAAACGAATAATCTTCGTATAAGAATTTGCAACAAATGTTATGCTCAAAAGATCTTTAAGCTGACTGTTGCTGATCAATTGAGCGGAGAAGTTTACATTTACGATATTGGAGCACCAAAATATCGATATATAACTTTTATTATTAAGCAAAAGAAATGTGTCAGTTTTTTTATAAAAAAAAATAATAGCTTGCTGTCAAATCCAATATCTTCCCCAAGACCATTTAAAAAATTACTTTTTCCATATTTTGCTTTAAACTTTTGCAGTAGAATGGCCGTTATGATTTAAATTTGAATGCTCGAATTAGTAGTTGGCGTGCTGCTTAAAACACATATATTGTATTGTAATGGACAGTTTCAAATAGTGTTTAAAATATTTCATTTTAGGATTTACGCTTTATAAGTTTCCACAATTTATTTCCTAACAAAATGTAGTGCTGTTGTGGTAATAATAAATTCTAATCGACTTTAATTAAAATCGATATCACATTCTTATTTATTTTATCGAACAAAAATATCGTGTTATTGATTATCGAAATATCGATATCGTAGTACGCAACCAGCATCCCTAGTCAAAAGCAACAACAAGGCCGAACCGAGTGGACGTGTGCGCCGTTTGGGATTTTGTGATTGCTTGTAAATATTATTTTTGCCGATAAAAGGAAGTCAGTTAAAAAATCATTAAGAAATGTGCCATTAGAAAAATAAAAAAATGGTAAACGCAAATGTATTTATTTTCTAAAGTAATACGAGTGTATTATAAAGTACAAAGTGCAGAGAAAGAAACTGTTGTTCTCTTATACCGGACGCATAACGGTTTTTGTACATACAAACGGATTAAGAAAAGAGACTAAAGGAAAGTGATCAAATCAAAACAAGTCTCATATGCAACAGTAAATCTGCAAATCAAAAGGCGGTGCTCGCTTTGAAATGCTGGGTTATTTCATCTCTAAGTGTAACGTCGTTTGATTCGTCGCTGAGATCTCACAATTGTAATTTGCATTATAAGATTTTTCTGTTATGTTAAATATTAAAAAAATTGTAAGGAATTGCAAGTTAAGAAAGTTGAAATGGATGACGATAATAACGACGCTCCACGTGGTAAGTAGCAATGAAAATGCTTGGCCTGCGGCTGGGTTATTTAGTTTTGTTTCAAGCAGAAAACCGTTTGAATTCAAAATGTCACGCCATGAACGGAAAAAACGTGTTGTTCCGTCCTAATCTGCATGTACTGTAAATGCCAACTAACATATCTTACCACTTTTAGTAACACGCGCACGTACACGCCGGCTGTCCGTCCTGGATACAGATACTCGCCCTTTGACGCCCATACTAGATGTGACCGCCGACCGCGGTAAGTACATTTTGTATTTACTGAAACGTAATCGATACTGATCGTCGTTGTTGTTGTTGTAGCATCTCCGCGTCCAATGCGCAGAACTCGCTTAAACTCGGCAACAATCGATTTGAGGACTCCGACACGGGCCACCCGCTTGTCGGTGGCCCGTGGAGAGACTCCAGAGCCTGCCACCCCTACTCTGACCTTGTCCTCTGTCAAACGGGGCACCCGCACCCCGGCTAAATCTGTGCGTAAACAGTTGCCGTTACCAGAAGTCGTAAACGAAGAAGACTCCAACACAAAGGTGCAAGTGCAGACAAAGGCTGAGCGTGACAATGACAAAATGAACGTCGTTGCCGAAGAGTCTGAAGCTGCCGTTGTTGACAACAGACCTTTGCAGACACAGTTTGGTACGCCACCAGATGAGAGGCGTGTGACGCGTTCAATGTCGAAAACACCTCCAGTAATTGGACGCACTGTAAACAATACGCCTCATCAGGAATTTGATATGAAAAATTCACCTGAAGAAAAACAAAATCAAACAAAACAGTCGATTGAAATAGCCACTGAAATTGTAGATTCGCCAGTTGAAGCACAACAGTCGATGCACTCTGATGAAGGCGTTACTAAGGAGTCGGTTACTACCACTAAAGTGGGGGATAGGTCCACAGTTATGGCAACTCCCAAAGTTAAGGTCAAGGTCAAAGACATTCTAATTGGAAACCAAGAGGATATGTCAAAAGTTGACAATGAGATAAATGTGTCCAATGTGGGTGTAGTCAAGAATAACGACGCGGACGGTATAATAGCGAAACCTATCGAAGACAAACAGGAGATAAAGAAGTCTGCTGACATCACTGATAAACCCTTTACAACTGACGGGGATATATCCATGAACCAGCTTGATGTGCCGCCTGAGAGTGATGATACAGGTACTCATGCTCATGTTACCGAAGATGTCCGTTTGCCGGATCTAACACCTAATATAAAGACTCGTTTGGTAGAACAAAAACAGTCAGAGCCCATGAAAAGTGTGGGCTTCAATAGCAATAGTCAAGTTGATGAGCCTAACAAGCAGAAGTATCCAAAGACCCCAGCACGCGTAAGTACGCCTGCGGGAGATATTTATAGCCTCGCGGATCGTAAGGCTAAAGGCGAGGTTAGGGATAAGGGCGAGACGCCCTTAAAGCCCTTAATCTTAAAGGGACGCAGCAGCTCAACTCCTCTAGCAAAGCTGGAGCCGTTATTGAGCCAAGCTAATGCGTCCAGTGAGCCAAATCCGCCTCCCCCACAAATTGATATGATAAAACCTCTCTCAGCGTTGGAAGACAAGGAAATGAATGTCAAGACAGCTAAAGAGAAACCCACACGACGTCTTGTCAGCGAAGACGAGGATGAAGAGGAAGATGAATACGAAGATCGATCTGTGTGCGAGTTTTTTGCCAACGAGGTAGAAGTTGTTAATAATTATCAATCCGGCGACTCAATGGACAGTTCCGTCCGCCATGAGATCGAAGAAAATGAAATACCCCACGATGGTGAATCAGTGGGCAGTCAGGACACAATTGATGATCACTCTGATGATAGTGCCGATGAAAAAATGTCGTTTATAGTCTCCGATAACGAAGATGATGACAATAATATTGAATCATTGTGCTTCTCGTCGGGCTCTGAAGAAGAAGCTGACTTTGAACCAAAAAAACGGCGTCGTATTATTGTTCATGACAGCAGTGGTGATGAGGATCCTGAGGAAAATAAAGAAATTAAGAAAAATTATGCTTCGGAAGAAGAAAACCCGACTGAAAAATCGGTACAAATGGATAAAAATGAGAGATATATGAATAGAGAAGCAGGTCAGCTGGCAGTCGAACAAACCGACAAGCTATCGACATGCGAGATATCACCAGAATTAAAGCCAAATAACTCCGATCCCCTTAACAAAACGGCGCCGGAACTTGGCATGAACCTGGACGAAGAGTTCCAAAAAGATGCGGTTCTAGCGGTAGAAGAGGTTGTTTCCAGTTGCAATGAGAGCGAGGAGCAAGAGGCCAAACAAAATACGAGCAAGAGCATCTATGAAGTGCTCGATTCTGGTGAGGAATCAAGTGAAAACGAAGAGTATGCTTGTGATAAGCCGACACCTGACGATCATGAAACCACTACAGAGGATGAAAAATCTAATTCAAACGAAAATCTCGCGAATTTTGATGAGTCGCCTATTGTTAAAGAAGAAAATCCAATTTCTGGTGAAGAGAAACAAGAGGTGGTTGTCAAGTCAGTGGCACCTACCAGCGAATCGTCGACATTCCACGCAAAACAAAAGCGTGAGGAAGAGGCTGCGCTTCCGGATGAGCTCTCCTCCTGCTTATCGCACTTGCGGCAAATGTTCAATCCCCTCCAGAAGTCGCGTCGGCAAACGCTGTACGTACAGGATCCCCATAAAGCCGTTAAGGAGCCGAAACCAAAATTGAAACGTCGCAGTGAACAGTTGAACAGCGATGTCAATCCATCGCAATCGTTCATAGAAACTCTGGCCGAAGAAAAGATCCAACGGATGAAGCGCAAGCGTATGTCAAAGAGTTTTTGCGGAGCTGTCGATGGCTTGGACACCAGTGTACTAACGGAAATGCAAAATAAAAAGGCCAAAAACTGTGAGTCAGCAGCTAGCGATAACGAAATGGATGTGGTTGTCGAAGCTGTTAAGGAGGAACTGCCTACTCCCGCTCCCATGTCGGAAGCGAAAGCCAATGATGAACTGTCCGTAGAGAAAGTCGTCCAGCCAAAGAGTCGCAATGATTATATAGAATATTGCGATACCCTGATCCGGGCGGCAAATGAAGCGAAGCTGGAGGAGAAGAAACAAGTAAGCCAACCAATCATAAACCTGAATAAAAACAATTTAATTAAATTCCAAAATTCTTCAGCGTATTGCAGCGGGCAAGAAGCAAAAGAGTCGCCTGTACGATGCTACTCTGCCTACTTGCGTCGCCGATTCCGCCAATGCAGCTTCAGTTGTCGCAGCCGCAACTAAATCGGTGTCGGATAAGCCGACCAAGATTAAAAAAAATGTGAAGCGTCTGCAAGCCACCAAGCAAGCTATCAAGCGTGCCATGCAATTGCTTGCGCCTGATGCAGCAAATAAAGAGGTGAGTTCCCAAAGAATTTTGGAGTGTCACTTCTTTATGTGTCCAACGTTTGCCTTTTATAGCCCCAATCGCTAGCCCGGAAACTGTCTCCTCAACCGGATATCAATGCCAAGTCCGTAAAGTCTAAGCACCAGACGAAGACGAATAAAAAGAAGCCTACAGCTATACAAGTGTCCCCAGTAAAGAGCTCTGACGAAGAAAATCACCATATCCCCAAACGTATTAAAACGAGTGCCGGCTATGTAACGGTCATGTCCAAGAAAGAGCGAAAACGAATTGAAACTTTTAAAACATCATCCAGCATCGTGGAAGTCGAGCCCTGCACTCCCACCCAAAAGTATTTTAAAGAGGTTCTAGCATCACCCAAACCCCGTCACGGGTTTAAAGAGATGCCTGCCACCCCGAAAACGTCTAAAAAGAAGTCAACGTCTGTACGTAACCCAGCTACGGAGGCGGCTTTGCGCTTTAAAAGGGAAATATTTGGTAGAAGTTATAAATAAGAAAATTAATATTAGCAATTAGTTAGCCGTTGGTTGTAAACGCAGTTATGTTCTTTTTTTAAGTTTAAAAATGTTCTAAATTTGAATTATTTTTGCATTGGAAATTTTGTTACAGTTAATGCTGAGGAAATCGAAAAGAAATGATATATTTTTATACAGTAAAAGATCGGATCGAAGCTTAGCTAACATGCTTAAATATTTCATTTGTTCTGATCAAATACAAGCCACAATTTATTAACGATTGTGAATTTAAAATTTAATTGTTAAAATGGTACCCATGTATGAACAAATCCATACAAACAAAGGCATTTAATCCAAAATTAGTATTCGCATTTCTTTTTCAATATTTGGATTTAATTGTATGCAAATTTTCAATAATTAATAAAATATACCACTAAAAAATAGATTATATGAAAAAAACAAATAACAATATTCCACTAGATCTGGCGCACTATAAGTGCTGCATAAACTGCTGAATATCATATATAAACTTGATTATTATATACAAAAAAGCGCCTTTATGAACTCTTGCCACTGATCTGTACGATCTGCTTAATTTTTAAAAATTAAAAATATGTACACTGCACACATATTTTACAAAGGATCTGGTAATATTTTTTAACGAATAGTCCTGGAGTTAAGGTATTATTTCATTGCAGATAATAAAACATTTCTAATAAACGAATAATCTTCGTATAAGAATTTGCAACAAATGTTATGCTCAAAAGATCTTTAAGCTGACTGTTGCTGATCAATTGAGCGGAGAAGTTTACATTTACGATATTGGAGCACCAAAATATCGATATATAACTTTTATTTTTAAGCAAAAGAAATGTGTCAGTTTTTTTATAAAAAAAATAATAGCTTGCTGTCAAATCCAATATCTTCCCCAAGACCATTAAAAAAATTACTTTTTCCATATTTTGCTTTAAACTTTTGCAATGGAATGGCCGTTATGATTTAAAGTTTTACGCTATATAAGTTTCCACTATTGATTTCCTCACAAAATGTAGTGCTTTTGTGGTAATAATAAATTCTAGTCGACTTTAAATAATATCGATATCACAGCCTTATATATATTATCGTACAAAAATATCGTGTTCTCATCTATTGATTATCGAACTATCGATATTGTAGTACGCCATCAACATCCCTAGTCAAAAGCAACAACAAAGCGGAACAGAGCGGACGTGTGCGCGGTTCGAGATTTTGTAATTGCTTGTAAATATTATTTTTGCCGATAAAGGGAAGTCAATTAAAAAATAATTAAGAAATGTGCCATTAGAAAAATAAAAAAATGGTAAACACAAATGTATTTATTTTAAGAAATAATACAAGTGCATTATAAATCATAAAATACAAAGTGCAGAGAAAGAAACGGTTGTTCTCTTATACCGGACGCGTAACGGTTTTTGTACTTACAAACGGATTAAGTAAGGAGACTAAAGGAAAGTGATCAAAACAAATCTCATATGCAACAGTAAATCTGGAAATAAAAACGCTACAACATGTTCGAATTGGAGGATTATTCAAGCAGTATACACGAGGGTTTCTTCAGCAAATATGCGGTAAGTACAATTGTACGAACATTAATGTACACACACACATATGTGCGAGTATTTATTCAAGAAAAGCAAGAAAGCAACAAAGGCAAACAAAAATTAGCAAATTCCTATTTATCGGCCGGTAACACACATATAAGCACATTAACCAATACATCGACATAGGCTTTTATAGTTCATTTTCAAATTTGTAACGTTCGTTTTTATGCGAATTCTCCGCAGTCTAAAAAAAAGAGCTGTCGGTATCAGCTCTCCAACGTTAACTTTTCCTAGTATTTCTGCACCTGCATTCCCCTGCCATCTGAACAGGCCTCCACTGTTTCGTATTCGCCGCAAGAACAGTTTGCTTCGATCCCCTCTCTCACACTGTTATTGCGCGACGAAGCATTGTTGTTTGGTTTGTGCTACGCTCGCTTTGTGCTTGTCGGCAGATTCGCTTTCGCTGTTAACGTTCAAATTTTAAATTTATATTCGCCAGCTCAACACAGCGAGTAGTTCGCACACTAATGTACACATGCATGTTATGCATATGTATTTGCGATCGTTGTGCTTTAAAATTGCTCTTAGGTCGCACTCATTGGCACTGTTGATTTATGGGGGTGTTTAGGAGACAAACAGGCGGTCACAACCGGAACAGAGCCATTGTTTAAAGTAGAGCCGATAATATGAGTATATTAAGTCATACATTCTTATAAAATGTATTTCCTTTTCTGAGGCGTTAAGCTGTTATTTTTATTTTATGCCTCAGTATTTATTTTTCTGGTTATTAACTTAGCTATAATTGTGTGTGGAGACTAAGTTTATGTTAGGGCAGCGCCAATGTTATGGCTGACTCAACAGCGGTCTGTTGTGTGTACTAAAAATGGTTTCCAGTAAAAACAGTGGCGAAAACGTTGCTGTTGTTCGTTGGAGTTTGAGTTGCGGAAACGGGGGGTTGGCTTTTGTTGTCATCATTTATATCAGCAGAATTCTTCTAATTCTGCTCCACTCGTGGTTTAACCTCGCTAAATGTACATTGTAGAATCATGCGTAAGTATTTAACATTTATTGTTGAACAATACATGGACATGCATGTGTATCTTCCGTATATGGGTGTGTTTTGTCAGTGTTCTTTGAGCTGCTGGTTCGTCTCTTAGAGTATCTTCTGCTTTTGCGTTTTAAATTTTTTGAAGGCCAAACGTTCACCTCGATTTTGTTGGCGGTTGCTTTTTATTATTTTTCTTTTTAAAATTTATTTTGTAGCTGGGGAAACGCACATTTGTATTTTATTTATATTTCGTATTGCAGAGTCAATTTTCTCTTACACACAAATATGTTTAGTTAATATTCATATTAGTCCTAACCTCCTACATAGTTCTTGAAAGTACTAGCATGATAAGCGGCAAGCATTTATTGAAACATGTGCGCCTGTTTAATGCAACATGTACCAACTCGCAAAAACTAGCACACAAACAGAACACACGCATTAGAGCAGCCACAAGTGTGATTTGTGTGAGTGTGTATGTCGTGTGTGAGGAGAAACAAAGAAACGCAAACACAGCGAAACGCTTTTATCTTATATGTACGTTGCTTTCAAACTCTACAAGTTGTGAGGGGAAGAGAGTAAGACCGACCGCTCAACGGTCACCCATCAAAAGCTTTTTCTCTTGCTCTCCCTTAAAAAACAGAGGAAATATATACATAAACTTCAAAGTTCAACGTGCCGACCGGCCGGCAAAATTGAGTTTGAGTGAGTAAATGAGACACCCACAAACCACAGCACAAAAAAGAAAGAATAAACTCAGACTCACATTCATGTGAGGCAACCTGACTCTCTTTTTGGCTCACGTTCGTTTGTTGCTTTAATATGAGCGCCCAGCTGTATGCCGCATAGATTTTCTCACGGCCCAGACACACGCACCGTATGCAGTAACACCCTTTAAATACTTAGGAAATAATGCAAAAAAAAAAATCGAAAATTCTGCAGATTTGAAACTGATTTACAGTATTCTTTGGATTTTTCCGGACCATATTGTAATTTCCAAATAGGCGCTCATAAGTACGGAAAAGACATTACTCGGCTGCAAAATGGCCGGACATATGCCTCCTTTTGCTACCTGCACCTGGGATCGGATTTGGATTTGTGTGCCAGAGTCTCCAGCCATTAAAATTTTAAGGTGAAAGCGGCGCAAAAAGAATTGTAACAGTCTGAGGTAGTAGCAACAACAAAAGATGCATGGCAGATGCAAAGGCGAAGGCACCAAAAGGGAATTACAGATAACACACACACACACACATACAGGCTCTCACAAACAAAACAAAACCAAACAAAAATGTGGCATAGGAAATGCTGCACCCCAGGCAAAGTGTCTAGGACACAAATTGAGCCAAGGGTGCGACACTGAGTGTTCAAAATGCTGCCTGCCGAGTGCTCAGTTGCATATGTATGTATGTACATACAAGCATACATTAATATGTTAGCATGTATGAATATTTTCATTTCAATGTTGCACAACTTGAAAAGGTCATCAGGAGGCAGCAGCTGGTCTAAGTTTCGAAAAGTTTTCTCTTTTTCCTTTTCGTCTGCCTGCTGCCAATTTTGACCGCCTGTTCAATGCATTTTTATTTCGGCACATTTTTTCAAAAACGTTCTTTTTTTTCAAACAAAGAGAGAAGTCGACGGGTAGAGAGAGAGCGAGAGAGAAAACTGAAACTCCTACCCAACCCTTTGCATTTGTATGTACATATATATACAAACACTCGTATCTATGCAAGGGATATGAATTACCACCCAAAAAGATCAGCAAATAAAACCAATAAGAAGCAGGAAGTTTCCTTTCCGTTTGGGAATGCAGCTCACAACTTACACAGGACTAACTATGTATTAATATAAACTTACATACATACAAGCATATCCATTCGGAATGTATGTATTTGTGTAGGTCTGTACGGCTACAGGGACAACCCCTGAGTTTCAATATTGCAGCTGCCGGCCGCCCAGTCTGTCTGCCAGCCTGACAAATGGTTATCGGAGCACACTCTCCCATGTATGCACGCACGTCAGCACTCATTTTAAATATATGTAAGTATATAAAAAAAATGCCGATCCATAAAAGTGAAGTACGAAGAAGAGTATGACAATCCTTAATTATTTATGTAATTTAGGGGGGAAAACTCGATACGAAAACTTTAATTTAATTTTTGCTTCATTATTTATTTACATCTCACTTTTTTAGTGCACATATTTATTCAGTTGAAAATTAGAAAAAATTTAACAATGAATTCTGGAATATGTAATTTATGTGTATTCTATGAGATTTCTGGTCATCGAAATATTCTAAATATATTTACTACAAATATTGTTTTGATTTTATTTCTCGAGATATTTATCTTATGCTTCCCTTGAGTTTACTTCAAAAATTTGAATAAAACACATTTGCAAAACATCTTGTGCCCGAATAGGATAACTTAGAACTTATCAATATGGGATATTTTTTTTTAACAGTAGGCTCGAGCCAATGCGCTGTATAAAGTTTTTCATTCAATCGGCCACTCTACCTTGTTCGGTTCTCCTGTTCCTGTCAATGGTGAGGCAGCTGCCGCATTTCAAGAACATTAAACGAAAATGTGCAACACCTGCCGTGCCCTAAATTGGTGTTGCACGCATGAGACCAAAGCGGAAGGGGAAGAGCACAGAAGTGCATTCGCTGGTCTCCAGCGAATGGACATCGACAAAGCGGGAAAACGATTCCAGAGTAAGACAAAAAGGCGCAGAACTTATGGGACCGCCGTGAATATAGCCCAAAATTAAGCTGCCCAGACACAAGAGTGTGTGTGTGTGTTTACATCCCACAACATTTTCGGGACTGATAAAAATACGTCCGCCTACATGGACAGCGTGCATACATTTATGATATCCTGCTAAATTATGCAACTTATCATCGTTCGTGGAGCATGCGGCGTGTGACGTTGTGTATGCCTCATCTATCGATTTTTCAGCATGAGCAGACGAGAACCAGGGCCGGGTCAATGATTTGGAATGTATCCAAGGACACACGCTCATGGCCAACCAAACCGCCCCCACCGGCAAGTAACAGGCGCTAGCAGCTTTTTTGTAAAGTTCGTCTAAATGTGGAGTTGCGCCTAATAACCAAAACACGAAATGACAAAACGTAAATGTTGAGAGTGTCTCAACATGTGCGGTCTACTGTTAAACTGGCGCCTACTACCCTTTTTCATAACAGAATTCAAGCAATCCCCTCAGCACAAAAAGTGCTCAGACGACCGCTGAGTTGTAGCTCGCTATGTTTCATTTGCAGAATGTTTTGTTGCCAACTGTACTGCTTGTGCGCTCAACAGAGAACTCTGTTGTTGCGCGGTCGATGTTCTATGTTTTCATCGTAAAGAGCAGCAGAGTGTACTCAGTGAGTTCTCTTCCAATAGCTTTTAACATGAAAAAGTCGCCAACGTCGCTGTTGCTGCTCGCTGTTATGCATACACACACAGTTAAGCATGCAACTTTTCGGTGTTTGTATTCCTGCTCTGTTCGTGGCGTAGTCGCTGCTGCGAAATTGTTGTTTACGTATGGCTTTATTCCCTTTTTTTTTTTTTTTTTTTTTTGATGGCCTTACGTCCAAACATACATACATATGTTGTATATACATATGTATGTATGTATATTTATTCCCCTTTTATCGGATATTTGCTGTTAACCGGCAGCCTGTCGCTCTTTTAGTTTGAAGTAAATGTTGCTGCAACATATTTAGCTCGGCAACATTTCCATCGGTGGTTGATTTTAGCTCGACCCGTTGCCTGCCTGCACTTCAAGCAGATATGAGAATATGTTTATGCAGCATAATATAAGAAAACTAAGCTTGCGGCTGTAACTTGTAGTATACATATATACTGTAAATTTGATCTTTGAGCTAGACCAAGAAATAATTATGTGCATATGTAAGTGTGTCTATGTACCTAAGTATGCTTGTAATTATATATATACATATACATATACATATACATATGTACATATGTATATACTTTTTTTTAAATACATATGTACATAGATGTACTCTTCGTAGGTTTGTTTATGTTTTGTACATTCTCAGCAGCCAAATCAGCCTGTGATTGTATAAAACTTTCAATTTTACTGATTTCCGGTTTATTATGGTGGCCTTCTCTGACTCAAATATACATACATATGTACATAAATATGTATGTATAAAAATACACTCATATGTACATACATACATAGTATGTCCCAAGTTCACGCGCTATTATGCACATGTGCGTATGAGTACATGTTTTGAATGCATGTGCTGTAAGTCAATTTTGTTGTTGCTGGACATTACTTTGGCGCCGAGTTACATACATATGTACATACATTTTTATATATTTTTGTATCTATATGTATACATACATACATATGTATGTATGTTTTGTGTCATATGCAGCCTGTGCCTGCCTTTCGTTGCCTGGCTTTCGTTGCCTGCCTTGAGCGTAAAACTGGTTTGAGCAACGGCTCCTGCTTCTTTCCCATAAATATCGCAGTTCTTGTTGTTACCGCACGTAGAAAAGGAAAAGTGTATACATACATACATGTGTACATACATATTTATGTATATAAGGAATGCATGTTTCTGTGGTGGAATGCGTAATAAACGTCAACAAGTTGCACGTTGAGAAGAAAAAACATGCATTCATTATATTATGGAAAAAAATATCTTATGTTATTATGTAACTTTTCTGAGTCTCTTGATATTTTAGCTTAAAAAATTTAACTACAGTTGATCATAATCTTAGGCAGCATTTTAAACACTGTTAAGCGTAATTTTAAAAGTTTGGTCACCCCGTCTTTCAAGTCACGCCGATGATTTAATACCCTTTTAGTCATTCGCCTTACGAATAAACAGATATGTATGTGAATCTCGTAAATGCTGAGTTTGGTGAAAATATGAAACAGAAAATATTTTGCTATACAAAAACTCATGCTCCACGATCTTGATATGATTTGGCTTATATGTATATCTACAATCTATAACTAGTAAATAACGTTTTTGGTCAAGATATCTTCATGAACAAAAAGTTTTTCTTAAACAATTTTAACATTCGTAAACAGACTTACGGGCATGGCTATACCAACTGGGCTGCTAATGCTGATCTAGAATATATGTACTTAATGAGCTTGACTTCTATGCGGTAAACATATCATGAACAAATTATAATACACTCTACAAAGGCATGAGAAGCTGTCGTCTAGATGAACATAATCTTACAAATATTGTGTCTGTAGGGCATTTTCTAAAATTATGTTATAAATGTTATAAGTTCGGTGGGTGCCATAGATTTCCATTTGAACTCAAAGGTTATATGTACATATATAGGTCTCTGAAAAAATTGGTGTTCTCCAACACTGTGTGCGCGATTTTGTCGCGCTAAAATTTGTCTAGTGAATTGCAAAGAAGCAGACAAGAAGCTTACGAATAAATTTGATTATTTATAATGTATATTTGTCAACAGGAAGCGGCGGGGCCTTCGCTGGACTTTTATGTGTCCGACTCCATGCAGGATATGTTGGATGTGGACATAAGGGCAGAGATTGCGAACGTTGTGGGCAGCTCAAGTGACTTGACCTCCTCGCTCGATCACGCACTGGAAGCCATTTCGGCTATAAACAATAGTAACAACAACAGCAGCAATATATCATCGTCGACACACAATGCAAATGCAAATCTGCTGGCCAGCAGCGCGCTGCACGCCTCTCCCACAGCCAAATGGATGGGCTCTTGCGCCAATTTCTGGTCCACAGCCGATTATTATGCGGATGTTGGGGCATGTGTCAATCCCATTTCCGTGATGCCGCTAATCAACTCAAACTCCGGCTCGAATTCATTGCTTGGCTCTGGATCGCCCCAAAAGTCGCGTGGGGCGCAGTCGACGCAGAGCAGAGCGGGATCTGCGGCTGGACAGGCCCCGCCCGCCTCCCCATGCGATCAGCACAAATCGCATTTGACCTTCTCGCCAGCACAGATGAAAGTGAGCGCCGGTTCAATGCGCAGAGAGCAGGTAATGGCTCACATACCCAAGCAAATTTCGGCTCTGCCAATTTCGTCGTCGGCTGCAACGGGCGGTGGTACCACTGCGCCGGCTACAATGGCAACCAATTCTGCACTGCAGCGTCGCAATTCGTCGGCAGTGGACGCTGTGCGTAAGGATCTGGGCACTGAGCTGCGCAAGGTGCAGTCCGGCTTGGAAGAGACAAAAGCCACTGCCAAAAACACAAGCCTGCTGACGGCTGGTGGCGCTACCAACACCATTAAGCTGGGTCCCGGAATTGGTGGTCTGACCTTTGCCAACAGCGCCACATACAACAAGCTAAAGCAACAAACGTCGGCAAAGTCCCCCAACGGCGCACCGCTCACCTCCAATGGCAACATCGTGCTCAAGCGGGATCGTGAAGCGAGTCCGTTGCATAACATTACGACGCTGCACGCGGGCGGCGTTCAGAAACGGGGCAATGCGCCAAAAAGCATTGCATCGGCGGCCCACTCGCCGCATCATCAGATGCATGTGCAGAGCAGCATTGGGTCGCCCTCGTCCAGTTGCTCCTCTACCACTGGCCGTCCCACAACTTCTTCCTCGCCGTTGTCCTTTGCGGCGCTGAGCAATAACAGCTTCAACAGCAACAATAACAACAACAATACCAACAACAATACCAACAGTAACAATGTTAAGCTCCCGCAGCAGAAGGTGAAGCTGCCGGCGGCCATGAGCAGCGCATTTCCGAAGCCCGCTTACTCCTACTCCTGCCTTATTGCGCTGGCGCTCAAGAATTCGCGTGCAGGCTCATTGCCCGTATCGGAAATCTATAGTTTCTTGTGCCAGCACTTTCCTTATTTTGAGAATGCTCCTAGCGGCTGGAAGAACAGCGTGCGCCACAATTTGTCGCTGAATAAGTGCTTCGAAAAGATTGAGCGGCCGGCAACGAACGGAAATCAACGCAAGGGATGCCGCTGGGCCATGAATCCAGAACGTATCTGTAAGATGGATGAGGAGGTGCAAAAGTGGTCGCGCAAGGATCCAGGCGCAATACGCGGCGCCATGGTCTATCCCGAGCATTTGGAGGCCTTGGAGCGTGGCGAAATGAAGCATGGATCGGCCGATTCTGATGTGGAGTTGGATTCGCAATCTGAGATTGAGGAATCTTCTGATTTGGAGGAGCACGACTTTGATGACACTATGATCGATGCGATGCTCGTCGAAGAAGAGGACAATGATAATGTTGAGTAAGTTAAAAAAAACCAATGCAGTATTTCCCATGAACACTATTAACACATTAACTTAAATTTCTAGCTGGACGAACAGCGATGATGAAGATAATGTTCAGGAGGATCACGTACGTCATGAGTATGAGCCAAGCAACCAATCTGCCAATCACCTGCCAACTGATCATCAGCTGCTGGTCGCGCAGAAGAGCGCCGAATTCGACATTGAGGTGAGATTGATAAACTAACAAGTGCTCGAACTTAAGCAGGGCTCTTGCCTTATTTCTTATATTTTTTTGGTGGCGCTTATGTTAATGATTCGACACTTTTTATTTCCGTCAGGTTAACGAGCTGTACGATGCCATCGACATTGAGGATGACAAGCAGGCAGTGCGTCACGCTATTGCCCACGGTCAAACAGCGAGCATTATTGAGCTAAACCCAGCCGATCTGAATGCGAATGATGGCTATCGGTCGCCCAAGCGCGCACGGCTTGACATTAACTATGCCATCGGTCCTGCCGGTGAGCTCGAGCAGAAATATGGACAGAAGGTTAAGGTACAGCAGGTGCACCAAGTGATGCAGCAGCAGCCGCCCACGTACAATCGTCGAAAGATGCCTCTGGTTAATCGCATCATATAAGGGAACAGCCACCCTTTTATACATACATATATATTATACACACTAAGTGTTAGGTTTACGTTTAAGGCTCACCCATCAGCTACGCTTAAAACTTTAATCCTAAGTTGATTTTTGTGTGTGCACTGTGCAGTTTCGCTCTATATAAACACACCCGAGTTTAAGTACGTGTGTATATAGCTCGATCCTATTGATTAAAATAGGTTTGTTATTCAATTTGGCCGCGCGCTTTGTAGTCGCTAATAGCAATTGTGTCGCAATGCATTATTTCCATGTATATTGAAAGGGGTCTTTCAAATAAATGTCTATGTTTCAAGCATTAAGTAATATGTGACACATAACTAGGACGTTTCGTTAACAAACATTTGACGCTTGAGCGAAAACTCAAGAAATACTTGTAATAATATAGTATTTGTAATTGTTTAATCTCCCAAATCCAACAATGACGAAACATTAATTATGTTAATTGTTTTCCAAAATCTTGACTAAAGAGAATTTTTGAAATTGATCTCCAACGAAAAAAAGAATTTTATGATAATCTATGTTGTAATTACTATTGACGATTGTTTTCTTTACAAATCATGCCTTCTGGCTATCGAAAAGATAACAAGCATAATTGTAAAAACCTAACGCAACAAACATTGAAATGATTTTCTACTTAAGTGCAAACATAAAAATTTTGGACAACGAAACATGAAGCACACACCGTTTACAAATATTTACACACTTGTTAACTGTACATAAAAATGGCATTTATAAGCATTTTCAGCGAATTTTCTATATAAATATTTGTGAAGGTAATGTTAAAAACAACCACCCAAAACTTGCCGGTCCAGTATTCATGTGACAGATGTTGGTAGAATAATACCAAGTATATACTATATATATACATATTTATAAGTTTATAATTGAAGTGCGAATTCTCGTAATAATAATTGAAAGTAGAGTCAATTACATTTTTGAAATATATTGTATATTACATATATGGTATGTAAATATTTTTTACCTAAAAGATTGTATACTACTTTAGCTGTAAATGAAATGTATGTTAATAACAATGTAACATTAATATCAACCAAAACCGAGCAGCATTGCAAGAATTCCAAACGAATTGTCAAAATTCTCCAACTAAAAAGACTTGATAACAACGTATACAGCCGAACATTCAGGACTCAGTTTACATGAATGTAAACAAGACCTCAGATTTTAAATACAAAGTACAAACAGTTTTTAAGTTAACTGAAATAAGATTATTACAAGTTACAAATAATGTAATTATGATTATTAACATCTATTTGAAGCCATCAAAAATATTTGCAATTCTAATTTACATCTCTCCATAGCCACTTCGCAAAAATCGATATTCATAGTACATACATTTTTTGTTGAAATAATCATGATTTAATAGCAGTTAACAAATTATATGTTATAAGTACGAAATATGTGTATTATATATCAAATTTTTAAGCAAAATAAACAATTTTTGTATAGAGTTGTTAGAAAATCAATTTGTTCAACACATTTGAAACCAAAAAAAAAAAAAACAATAAAAAAATTAAAAACCATTTGATTACTTTGTTTATAATTCTTTACCTGACCAGCAAAACGTTTGAAATGCGTAAATTAGTTCTTACATACGCTGTGCAAAAATGAAGTTAAAAACAATTTACTTGGGCTAATGTATGCAGATAATTATTTCATAAGGTGGTCTTTGTCATATACAATTAATTGTACAATTTTTCATAACAATTTAGCGATTTTACATAAGGTAATATGGCTCATATGATATGAATGTTCTATTCATATGATGAATTAAGCTAACATACTAAGCGTCGATCATACGACAAATTTTTTCGCGCAATATACTTCGCAAAGAAACGGGTCCGGTCGGCATCTGACTGATGCTCTTACTCGCACCCGTATCAGCGAGCTGGAAAGTATTTGTTCCAGTGGTGAGCAAGAGCCATTTGTCTAGCGTAGCGTATAAAGAGCGGAAAGCCACACTAGGAATTTTGAAGCTCATTCAAATGTATGGGGGTTACTCTTCTTAGCATATACTTTGTCTTTGCTATAATATAATATAATATAATATAATATAATATAATATAATGGTATTGTGAAGGATGAGGATCAGGAAGATATGTTTAGTAAATCTAACCACGTCCGTCTGTCCGTCACTTTAAAGCTCAAATTTGGATATATATAGTACTAGCGGGTATTACCAGTTTCCTTTGTCACCCAGTTTTCGATCGTAGAAAATTTAATTCCAGGGTTGCGGGTGGAATTTCATAAATTTCATTATTAGTTTGAGGCCGATGGAACGCAGATTAAAACATTGGTTTTATAACCTTTAACCCGCATTTATCATCCAAGAGAGCTTGAAAAAAGTGTGAAAAAATCTAAAAAATATTTGAAAATGAGTTTAAAGCCGATCCGTTCGATTTTATACATATATATACGAAGAAAAAAATGTGTTTGTAAACAAAGATCTTTGATAATAACAAACAAAAAGTTTAATATATACGTTTTTTTTCGATTTTTCCACACTTGCGGAAATTTTCTATCACTGTGAAAATATAAGCTTCCCAGCACTACCCGTTTTGGACTGTGCGTTGATCACTGTCAGTCAGTCACGACAAGAGATAACATAAGCATAAGTCGGTATTTATATAAAATACTATGCTATAAAATCAAAAAGCTTTGAAAATGATTTTGAAACTGCTGTTGACCATCCACAAATAACTTTCATACAAACGATTTCCGCCAATTTACCACTGTTGCGGGTGGAATTTCCCAAATCGCTGAAACACGTTTACAATAAATTCTTATGCAGAGCTTTGAGAATAAGTTTGAAGCAAATCGGACAAAACTTAAAACTTCACCCAAAAAATCTTGGAATCGCATTTCTACCGAAGAAGTTTGGATTCTGCGAAAAGTGAAAAACACGTCTCAAATGAATTTTCATATAGATATTTGGAAATATTTTGAAACGTTACCCACCAAATTTTTTGACCCCCATTTCCACCAAGGAGGGATGGATTTGCAAAAAGTACGAAACACACCTCAAATGAATTGAACAAAGATCTTTGAAAATGAGTTTGAGGCTGATCGGATGTTAAGCAAAAAAGTTGCATACAAACGTTTTTAGCGATTTTTTCACACTTGCGATTGGAATTTCCTGAAACCCCGTTTTAACGTACACCTTCAGTACTACAGTACAAATTTCAGCTTCCTAGCTCTTACGGTTTGGGCTGTGCGTTGATCACCAATCAGTCAGTCAGAACAAACCGTTTTATATATAGAGTTATCTCTATATAGTCAAAACCATTAAAATTAATATGATGTCAAGGTATAGCAAGGTAGATTTAAGTAGAAAAGGGCTACAATAAATTTATTTAAACAAATAAAATTTTGAAAAAGGGAAGATGCACAGCCGCTTCGTTTGGTGCATGTTATTGCTTACATATACATAAAATGAACTCGGAATGTTTCCAATGGAATCTTGGCGGTAGCTACAGCCAAAGACAATATAAATAGTGTTTTTATTATCTGTGGTACAGGGCATCTCCAAATCAGGCAGTTCCTACTAAGATAGATGTCACTTGCTTCCTTTGAAAACGGACTGTAATAAACTATTAGTTTGGTAATATTATATTTTGGAAATAAGAGTTCCTACTTTTACTGTAATGGATAGGTAATTATATTGCTCTCAAGCTGGAATGGTCTGGAATTCGTGTAGTAAGAGGTTGAGAAATATCATAATACAATTACAAACATTACATATATACATACATCGCAAGTATAAAAGGCTAGCACACCCTTTGAAAGAAATAAATAAGTTTTTTTTCTTTTAAGACATCTTTATTTCACATTTATAAATAGGTAGATTCGATTTGAATTGGTATTCCATTATGTTTTCGTTTCATTTATTTTTTTGCTTTTACAACCAATAAAGCTCAAGATTTCAGCTTAGTATTTGCAGTTTGAGCAATAGATTTTGTATAATTTCTTTTGTTTCGAACAATTTTGCTTAGAAAGCAATCGTAAAGCTTACTGGTCCGATTTCGGGTCTCTATTAAAACTGTACCACAAAATCGGCCAGGAATACAGCTTGTGTAAACGTAATGACGTTGAGTTTTTTATTGCGCAGTGATATTGTAAAACTCAGTTCTTAAAGATAGGTCATACAACAATATTGGGAAACATACAGATTTAAAATTTTGAGAGCATTAGCACAATAGGAATAATATACTGGCTTATATATTGACAGTCATGTAAGACTTCATTTTGATTGGTTGTGATTTGATTTTTTACAATTCGGACGTTGCCGTATGCAAAATGTTCTTGTTTTCTCGTTTGCAAGCGATATTCCTTCTAAGACTAGATTTCTTTGAGTTTCTTACTTTGTATCTCCTGCGCTTAACTAATTCTAGTTGAATGGCTTACAAAAGGTTTTCTTGCTAGAATAAATACCTAAAATGGCATAAAATACTTTCTTGGGTGCCTCTGTTAAAATATTTCTCTGTACTTCTTTCTTTGTATATGCTTCAGGAATTTCCATACAAATGTTCAGTTGCAGTTTAAATATATATATGCATATATGTGTATAAATGTGTGTTTATTTTTTTTCAGATACAAACACATGTACGTAGGTATGCAGTAAAATGTATTGTTTTTAAAAATTGAGTGTTGATATTTGCACATTTAAGGCCTGTAGTTTACTTAACATAGTTTTCCATTGAGCAAGCCGTTCCAGCAAGATCTTTTCGTTTCCTTAACTAATCTATACAGTTCTGCAATCAGTGCATATGGTAGATGTTTTTGATGATTTGTGCGTACCTACACACATGCATATGCAAATGTGTGTGTGTGCCTTTTCGTTGTGCATGTATGCGCCGAGCACTATGCTGTACAATTTTCGTTGAAACCAGACAAAACTGATGTGACAAATAGCTTTTTCTTAAAGTTAAACACAAATATCATAGTTTAGTTAGACGCTAAGTTCACAAATACTAATGAACATGTACTTAAACTAAGGTGTATCCCATTAATACATAATCAGATCAGACAAGGCCAACGCTGCAAGGGCGTGACTAGCTTGCTGCTTGGACGGTTCTTTACTTGAATGTGGGGGCAATTCTTTAAATATATAATAATATTTAATCTGCTTGCATATAGACAAACATACATATGCCTAAAAGCTAACTGATTATGTTTACAGTTGAGAAGAACTTAAGCTAAAACCTAATACACGAATACATACACACACCTTTGACTTTTAAATGCACAGGTGAAACGGACCTTTTGAATGGGAGATAGTGCA